TCTGATTTGAATATATTTTCCACTCGTTGTTTCTAATACAAAAAATATTAACTTTATTTGGGTTTATTAATTTATTACAAGTACTGTATTCTTTCCTTAATAATTATCATCTTCGAAATATTGTTGTTTTTTGTCTATCAGATTTCTTACGTCGGCATTTTTAAATTATTTCTTAATACTTTCTTTTAAATATTGAATTAATTTCAAATAGAACCAATGCCTTATTGATCTGCCGTGTAACAAATTGCAAAGGGAATTGTAAAAACGGCCCTAAAGTACGTGGAATTATCTTTCTCTAAAGATAAAGAATTATCCGATTTTTCGATTCGTACAATCAGTAGAGATCGTTAGATTATTGTTTAGGTTGACGGACACGCATGTCTTAGTTTTTTTTTTTTTACGAATTGGTCAAATCCAAACTCAAACAAAAACATTGTTTTCAATCGTTATGATGAGTCCCCCGATTGAATAGAATTAGAATTTTATTATAAACAATTGTCTTGTAAATGGAATTTTTAAAGCATTCTGAATGTATAAATAAAGAAAAAAGTGTGCAAGACAATAAGAAATACTACCTGCCAAAAAAAAAAAGTGGATGTTTGTTTTATCGGCTGAAAAATGTAAGAAATCCGATCCCATATATAAAGGAACACACGCACACACAACCTGGGGTTTTTAACTCCACGGAATCGCTAAAACATAGAGCATAGTCTGATGAAAAAGACGCCAAAGTTTATGAAAACAAAATTTTATCGTCAAAATGCTTATGTTTTTATGAAGAGGATAGACTAAATTTTTTTTTTCAATTATTTTTAAAAATTTTCCATCTTTTAGAATATTCTAAATTTTGATTTAAAAAACCTTGTTTCTCTTTGTCGCAACAAGGGGTAGTAAATAACATAGATAATTTTTAGCGCGTTTTTTTGTATTTACACACATTAATTTGGAAAATCTTGCAAAAATAAAAATAATTGTCAGATGTTAATGAAACTTTCAGAAACTATTCACAGATGATTGAAATTATTATAAATGTTTTTTTTTTTTATTAAAGTCATGGCAGAAATTTTTTTTTTTTTATTTATTAACACCCCCATAACTAATTTTATGAAAAACTCTAGAAATTCGAGACGATCAGTTTTAGTGATTACAATAGTTAAAAGCAGAAGGCTTTGAAGAATGCAAATCATGTTTGTTTTTTTTTTTTTTTTTTTGGCCAATGTACCTGAAAATCAGCTGTGAATTGTAACATACAAAACTCAATAAAACAAATATATTATTTAGTTTCAAATGCTTTTATTTGTTTTAATTTGTTTTTATGAATATGGACAATATTTTCTGAAAGCAAAAAATTTTTTCAATGAAAATTGAATTTTTAATACAATTATTTCTTATTTTTTTAATTTTAAAAAGATTTTTGAAAAAATTTTAAATTGAATTTTAAAAATATTTTAACATTAGTTAAAAGCAACATCAACCTTTCAAAATGTCCGCGTGAGATTGTCATTGTCTAGCGCTTTGAAAATTGTATAATTTGGACCAATCAGATTAGCCATGGTAATTAAGAAATGTAATTTTTGTGTTTATAGTCGGACAGTAATTATCAAGTATGGAAGACCAACCAGAATACAATTTAGTTGCATTATTTGAGTTCAGCATTGTTCTCCGCTGTTGAGCCCTTTACTTTTGCGAAACACATATGGAGAAGTTAATTTGAGTTTTCAATTTCAACTGAGAAGGGTACCTACAAGTAACAGTATCATCTTATGAAATTTAACTACTGCTAAACTTTAATTTATATGATCTTATTTTTATATTAATCTCAGTTATGACATTTTTCCATAAATGAAATATCAAAATTAATAAAATGAATGGAAATACAAATAACACAGTAAAATGTAATAAATGTACATAAAATTATAGTATTTTATGTACACTTCTGATAAAATTTCATAAGAAAGGTACCTAAATTAATTAGATACCTTTTTCTTATGAAATTTAATCTCACTATTAACAGTCTTATTTTTAATTTCTTTATATTTTCCATAAAGCATCGTAAACGTAAAAATGAAAGCTAAGTACAAAAAAAAAAATATAAAAAATAAAAAAATTAGAGCGCTGAAAGTTTTCCTTAAAAGTAACGAGGTAAATAATTTGGTCACTTAAATAATTTCACTTCCTTCCATCCGTAGAAAGAATTATCCTCCCGTAAGTTATCTAAACGTCATGAATGTGCCTTTCGTCAAGCAACGTGAAAGGTTATGACCTGCTTTGTTTTATTTTCAAATTACATTTTTTCAGCGCAGAAGCTAAGTTAAGCTTGGTTCAAAATATTTTAAATAAACAGAATAATTTCTGTTTTTATGAAAATCAGTTTTGAAAAAATGATAATTGATTTTTAAAAGAATATCAAAGTCAGATTTTAATCTTTTTTATCAAATCGAAAAAAATGATTGAAAATGATTGATTATCTGTCTCTTTTTTTTGGCCAAAAAAAAAACAATATTTTTAACGAAAATTTCAGACGTGCTAGAAACGATTAAAAAATGTAAAAAAAAATACCCCCAAAATACTTTGATCTTTCCTCTTTAATAATAATATGAACATTAGACGATAAAATTTTGTTTTCAAGTTCGGCTTTTTTTTCATCATGCTATGCTCTTTTGTTTACATTTTCGTGGGTGAGTTGTCCTCCTTTCATTCTCATGATGTGTCTTAATCGTGTTTTCAAATTGATTTTGTTAAAAAAACAACTGTGTTTTTCCCATTTTCGGCGCCGTTAGAACCACCACAAGGTAATTTTATGTAGTCCTGTGAAGTTTTGTTGAAATCGGCTAAAAAATGTAGGAAATTCGATCCAATATAAAAACGTTACAGACACACACACACATACACAATCTGCATTTTATAATAAGTAAGATACAAGGATTTTTCTTAATTTAAATTTAAAGTCGAGTATCTCTGATCTTGTAAAGATTAAATGATTTTATTGAAATTAACTGAATGTAAGTTTCTCTCATATTACAAACTTTTAATGAGTTCCTTTACTGAACCCTAGAAGCATCAAGATCAATTTCCACCTTCACATTAATTCAGTCTCTTTCATTCATTACTTCTCTCTCTTGACACATACACTGATGTTTGTGAATATGTAGAACATATGTAAGCTTAGTTTAATGACGATTATAAACTATTTCCTTAATGAAATTCAAATCAAAATAATTTTTGATTAAGTCCTTGTCCTAATCTTTTCAGCTTCACCAAACCTTAAACTAGATGAAGCCTAATTTATTTATATTAATTGCATTCATCTTTGTTATTATTGCAACATTTTCAATTGTGTGCTCTCTAGCCTTCTTCGGGTACCTGTTAATTTGGGTAGCCTCCTTTATTTAATCAATGGGGACAGATAGTTCTTGTTCTGCTGTTTATATCTAAGAATATCTTAATTTAGTACTGCTCACTTAGTGCTCACTATGTTTCCATTGTGTCTAAGTCTGCACTGCTCAGTCTAGTGATTGAATTGACAATTACTATGCAACCAAAATTAAAAAACCAACACTTGATAGGTACCTAAAGAAAGCTGGAGGACACATTAGCCAAAATGTGATGATGATGATAACTACAAAGATGGGAACATTAGTCCAAATGTAAGTAATGATTAACTCGTCATTTCAGGAATTCAGATAGAATCTCAATTTAATTGATTCGTTTTTTGTTTTTTTTTCTTTTATTATAATTATGATTATATCTGGCATCATCAGAAATTTAGCTGAGAAATGATAAAATTTCAGGACAAGTATAATTCTTTAACATTTTCCCATTGATAATTTATAAGTGAACCTTTACTGCTATTTGATAGCATCAGCCTGGTTTGGGATTTGAGTGACCTCTCGAGCAGTAAGCATTTGATAATCATTGCTTTGTAACTTAGCATTTTACTGGAAGAAAATCCATAAAGGTCATCTGTCAGAACAAAATGTTTTTCTCTTTGTCCCAGTTTTCAGTGACACATTCTTCCTTTCTCTCTGATGACTTGACTCTAGACAACAATTCAAGAACTTTTCAAAATAGCCAATGTTGAATATTGTGGACTACTTTGGATTTTCTCTTACTGTACAAAATAAGCAGCTGCCTTAATGAAACTAAATCTGTATTTCTCTCTCTCTCTCTCTCTTTCAATTCTATTTGTCTGGAAAATGCCTCAATCTCTCTTGCCAAAAATGTTATCTTCACTTCAAGCAACAATTGATAATAATCATCTTTTTTTTGTTTTTCTTTTACTGAAGCTTAAAGAAATGTACATTTTTTTTCCTTTCCTTTCCAGATATTGTTTTTACTATTTATTTTTCTAATATTCCTTCATTTTTTTTTTTTTTTTTTTTAATTCTGTTAGAAATAAAAATCAGTATTTTATATTGCACAAATACTTTCTTTGACATTTAAAAAAAAATCTTTTTAATAATTTCTTGATAAGGATTGCTTCTGCTTAAACTAATTTTCAAATAACAATCTTTCCTGTTACTGAGATGTTATTTGCTAAGTTTAGTCTGGTAAAAGGACACAACAGCAGAGGCATTCAATAATGATTACATTCACTGGAAAGCTCTGTTACCATGCCAAACTAAGTAAATCTTACTAGATAAACTGTTGCAGGCTTCTTTGTGTTAAGCATAAAAACCTTTCTTTTCTAGTCTATAAAATCATTGATTGGCTTGTTTTCTAGGGCTTATCAACCCTTTACTTATTAAATTTAAAATTAAAGTTATTTAAAGCCAGAAGATTTTTAGATTGTAAGATTTTTTTTGTGATGACAATAAATAGTTTAGTGATACAAATCTTATTAATTAACCCATAACTGTTGGAGGGAGAAGAGGTGGATTTATACCTTTCCCAAGGTTATTTACATATATGTGAATATAATAAACCCAACAGAAATTGGAACTCAGCTCTTCAATTAATAAATCCAAGCCATTATCTATTACACCACCCATACATCAAAGCTTACAGCATTGGGTATTCCCAAGCAGTTACACATCTAAGTACTGACCAGGTTCAATATTGCTTAACTTGGTGATCATATGGGAACCGATGTTTTAATGTGATGTGACCATAAGTCTGTTGGTGTTTCTAGTTTACTTTTAATGACTGAAAATGAATTGATATATAAATACCAGAGTATCTGCGTACATAAGGTGTTTACCATTCTCCAAAATTAAAAAGAATATGATTTAAAGCTTCATCCAAGATCAATAAGGTAAAGGAGTAATGAAACTTGTGGTAGTAAGTCTTTTTTTTTTTTTTTTTTTTTTTTTTATTTCTATCCCTTTTACATTTCCTTACACAGGATTTTATTTTTATTTTTCACTATTTTTCTTTATCATCCTCTATTTTACCTTTCTCCTTCCATCTGTAATGCTGATGGTGCTAACAATCTTAGCAGTGAATAACTTTGGCAGATTTTCTCTAATGCACAATGAAGGTTGAGGCATATACTGTGAAGATCTCTTGGTAACTCTCTCAAATTCATTTTCTGCATGCATACTCTGTTTATATAGACTTCAGTTTGGAAATAAATACGATTAATTAGCTTCTCAAATAAAGGAGGTGGGCATGCTATGAGGCGCCTTTCAATTTTGGCTTGGATTTTTAAGTTTCCAAAATTTATATTGAAATCAACATGAATATGCTGGATAGGTTGCTAAATAAATAAACCTTAAAGTTATCAAAAATCCTGTGAACTTTTGGCAAACTCATTAGTCATGTCATGCCAACTTCCTTGGGGTTATAGAGTTGGGACAGGGATTTATAAGTTATGCTGAATTTTACTAAATTTTATTTTGTTTTATTTCAGTTCAAACTCTTCCAAAGTCCTCCTTTTAAGTATTTTATGAGTTTAAATGAATATTTTTAAACCTGAAGTTTTTTTCCCATCAGGCTCGAACCCAGTTAACCACTCTCCCATATTTTTCTCCTGATATCTCTACTCCTTCACTCAAAATTATTAAGTCTCTCAAAACTTCAAGTCACTAACCCCTTCCCATGCATTTTTATGACTCAATCAGGGTCACTGCCCTATTACATATGGTTTTTCCACTCAGACAGATTTTCCCCAAGAACCACTGCTTTGTTGAACAGACTCTCATATAGATGCTTCGCTGAATGTTACAGTCTTAACTTCTTAATGAGTTAATTATTACTTATCCTCTATATTCTCATAATCTTAACTTCCTACTCCTGCATTCATATTCACACACCTCATTCAGTTACTCTCTATTTTGAGTGCCTCACGAGCCTTGTATTGGTTAAACATAAAAATATATCATTAATTGGCTTACAACTATTAGCTTAGATTGTATGGTATCATTTTCATAAGGTCATGTTCAATGTTTTTTCTTTCTTTCTTCAGTTATTAGCCAAAAATGAATGTTTTATAAATGAGTGTGCATTTAGTCTGTAATTCTAGAGGAACTTGATTCTTGGCATTCTTGACAGGAAATTCACTATAAAGCTGAATTATTCCTTAATCTCAACACTTCCAGATGATATCCTTTATTCACTGTCTTATGAAATATAAGATCCTATTCAATGGGTTGAGTAGTGAGGCTTATTATATAAAGTTTTCAAAATGTGATGGAAAATCTTACACAGGGTAAGGCAAAAGTCACACAACATAGGTCAAAGAGGTCCTGTTGAGTGGCCACCAACGTTTTTTTTTTTTTTTTTTTTTTTCGGGGGGCATTTAAAATCAGTTGTTTATTGAATGTGCCCAAGAAATATTGAGAAACTTAAAGAAAGGATTAAGTATGAATGCAGTAAAATGACAGAGGTAATCTCTGACGTATTAAATGAACATTCAGGCATAGAATTGAAATGGGTTTTGAAAAAGGGATTTTAAACAGCACATATAACAATTAAATAACTAGTAAATAAAATAGTCATGTAATTATACTTTTAATAAATTATCCCTATGGTGTGTAACTTTTGCGTCACCCTGTATATTTGTCAGTGCAGGCATCGTTTTTAGATCATGTCATTTCACAGAAGTGACAAGAATGAATGTCATCATAGAAAATGGAAAACAACAGAACTAAAATACCAGGCTGCATAACAGTTTTAGAAGATAAGTTAGGAGTATGACTAAAAAGTGGTTGTATTGAAAATCAAAACTGAAGACATTAAAACTGGGCTGCATTAAGGAAAGAAAGAAAATCTGTGATACATACTGTTATATTCTGTGCTAAGGGAATAAACATATAACACCAGGTGAATACTAGAAGAAAGGTTTATTGTGCACAACAAGTACAATATGAAATACGGTACAGTTATACACACAGGTCAATCTAGTAGTGAGTGCCACTAATTGGAAGGTCAGACATGCTGGCGTCGTCTCTTTCACTCCTTCCTGCTTCTGTCTTCATAGACGGTTGACTTTATAGGTACTTGCTACCTATAGTGTAATCATTCATGAGGGTGACTGGTTATTCCATTACATCACATACTGAATGAGACAAGTTGATTTTAATTTGGATAGAATGACATGTCTGTCATCCCTAGAGTAATCACAACTCATTTCTCATGAGACACCAAATACTGTCAACATCTAACATCCTAAATTATTTCTTTTGAAAATTCTGAAAATGATAAAAGATGCCTGAAAATTATATATCATGTTGCTTTATAATGAACAAAGCTTACATTTAGTGTATGTTATCTGTTAGCTAAGTTTTTTTTTTTTATCCTAATGTTCATTCAAGGCCCAAGAGCCTATCAAGATAGGGGGGGGTTAATGTGTGGTATTGTATGGGCATAAAAAAAAGCAAGAAGTGAAGTTCATGAGATTACATAGGAAATATAATAGTTAACTCTAGATTTTAAGAGGGTATGGTTGTAGTGATTGGGGAAAATATCCTGCCGGGGGTCCGTTCTACAACGCAGCAGTTCTTGGGGGAAAAAGCTGTCTGAGTGGAACTTACTTCTTACTAACAGAATATGAAGGGAATGGGGATGATTTCCCTTTGGTATTGTGAGTCACAGTTGCCAAAATCAGGGCTGATGGATGGTTGTCAGCAAGAGAAAAAAACCAAGCTGCGAACTATGAGTTGGTGATGCTAACATCAAGCAAGAACAAAAGTTTAAATATCTGGGAAGTGTCTTAATAGAGGATGAAAAACGTAATACTAAAATGTGAACGCACATTGGAATAGTGAAAGATGTTTTCCAAAATCTTAGCAAAGTATTAAGAAACAGGGAAATTTCATTAAAAACAAAGAAGAGTGCTGTACTCTTTTCTTTTTTAATATCAATCTTTTTATATAGCTGTGAATAATGGATAATCTACTCACAGATGAAAAGAAAACTGGAGGCAGCATAAGTGGGGTTCTACAGAAGGATGCTGAGAATACCATTAAACAGAACATATAAACTACAAATAAGTTTTAAGGAAAATGGAATCAAAACTGACATTTATACTCAGAATCAGAAAGAGACTGCTGAAATTTCTTGAATACATAATGAAGAAGAAGGGTAAGGAGAAATTGACACTTACAGGACATATTGACAGCAAAAGGGGCAGGAGAAGACAATAGGCCACCTACCTGACAGGCTTGTGTGAACAGATAATTGAACAGGGTGTGGGAGGCTTAACAAAGGGACAAATGCTACTACAAGGGATAGAAGGTTGTGGAGAGCCATGATTGGCCATGTTGTGAAGAGACATGGCACATAGAAGTAGTACAGGTTGTAATAAAACTTAGAAAAGAGAAAATATTAAAGTTTTAAAAATGAATAAATGTAAACAATTTTACATGAAGATGTTCTTTCATGATTTTAAGAATTGTGTTGTATGCATTAATTTTCTATATGAAAAATATTAGCACAACCCAACTTTCACAAGTCTTTCATTTACAACTCGCATCATAACAATTTTTCATTTACAACTCGCGTCATAACAATTTTTCATTTACAACTCGCGTCATAACAATTTTTCATTTACAACTCGTGTCATAAAATTTTCTATATTTATTACTTAATTTGTCCTTTGTATTTTCAATTTAATTTATTATAAGCAGAAAACATGTAAATGTTTGTTATTGATTTATTCAAAATTTTTAACCAAAAATTGACAGAAATAAATTTTCTTTTTTTTTTCTTTTTTTTTTTTTTTTTTTTTTTTTTTTTTTTTTTTTTTTTTTTTTTTTTTTCTTAAATTAAATCAAACTTAGTTCTTACAATTAGATACTACTTTTTATGCTATACAAATATCTAAATTCGTCATTTAACCATCATTTTTCCTTTTGGTTTCATGTACCAGTTTAAAAATAGGTTTTACATTTTGTTTATTTTTACCCCATTTATTAAAATACAGTACTATTGGTAAGTAGTAAGAATTTTTTTTTTTTTTTAAAGATTTTAGTTACTTAGGGGATAAATATAATAAAATTTTAATTAAAAAATTTAGGATCATCCCCCAAAATACTAAACAGTTGTTCCAAACCAATGTTCTTAAAAGGATGACATTAAATCTAACTCTGATCTAAATCGTCTGACTTGTCTCCATTTATTCAGTTTGACTGACTCTATATTTATCCCCCCCCCTGCTTTTTGACTTGCATTCAAATCACCAGTTCTTGTTCGATCATCAAAGTTAAACAAGTGTCAAGCCCAGTCATACCTAAAAGGGAGACTGGGCTTGGAAACAAGGGGTACTGTAAGCAACCTCCTACAATCTGAAATAGGTTTTGGCTGTAAATAACCCACAGTGTGTTGATAAGCCATAAAAAAAAAAAATCACTCAACCTCCTGCTTCTTTCCAGCTAACCTATTTTTTGATAACCTTTAGAAATGAGAATGTTCCTGTATAAAACTGAATACATTTAATTAATAATGCAATAACAAGCAGCCATTTTGTTAGATTGACTGCGAAATGCTTAATTTTTACTTTCCTTGCCTGTTTTTATTTTTTATCTTTTTTTTTTGTTGTTTATTAATTAAATTAATAACATTTTCAGTTATTTGCCTGATTATTTTTATGCATTGCATACAAACTTGTTCATGGCCATCCATTTTTCCTTTGGAAGTTAGTGGGCTGATATCAAGTTTACAAAGGCAGTATTTTTTTTTTTTTTTCTTGAACCAGATTTAATCAAATAATTCTCTGCTGTGATAATTTTTATTTTTTTTGACAAAAGAAAATTTCTGCTTAAATAACTTCCCAGAAATAACCTGATAATTTTGACTAATTGAAGAGAATTTAATGATCAATGAATAAGTGACTCTGAACTATTTTTAGTTGAGAGAACAGCCCACTTCTATTCAGTAACTTATTAAGGATGAAATAAAAGAAAATGAAAACTGGTTTCCAGCTTGAATTAGTTATATAGTGTTTATTTTCAACTGTAAAGAAATGTTAATACTAGAATTTCAGGTCCCACTACAGTTTAAAATATTTTTCATACTATTTTTTTCTGTCTTTTGCAATTTGCTAGCCTTTCTGGATACATAAGAAATAATGCAGAAATTTTCTTGCTGTACACACTCAAATACTCAATCCTATTGAACTGAAAGTAGATCCTTAAATAATAATAAATATGCTGATAAATAAATATTGACAAATGACTAAAGTAAATTTTAATTTTGACTTAAATTTCAATCTATTTTGCTATTTGATATTTTCTTGACTCTATTTTAAAAAGAGACACACACAGTCATAAAAATAATTTTTTTTACTCACAATGTCTTATCAGCTGAGATATGATTAGTAAACTTTTCTCTTTTTGTAACAATAAACTTTGACTTCTTATGGCTACTTGCCCTGAGGTTTTCCAACAAAATGAGTAGTGTAACTTATGGTTAGATTGGATCTTCCCAACTTGTTAGCTAATTTATCCTTCCCTCTTTCTACTGTACCATGTCACTTTTGAAATTTTACACTTTCTTGTATAAAAAATCCAATTCTCTGACTTTCTCAAAGTATTCAAGGAACTGTAGTAACATTGCTTGACTGAATGTTGATGAATTTCAGATCATGGCCTGCTAAGTATGTCTGTCAGAAAATATGACATTCGTCTATTTTATTGAACTGCTACAAAGTTATTTCTCTATTTTTCTCTTAAATAGAGAGATGACTTGTTCCTAAACTTATTGCCATCATGTAGTCTTTCAGCAAAAAGTTGTCCTTTTATAAATTCATGAAAATAAATGAGATCCTGTGCATAATAGAAAAAATGATCATTTCAATTTGCATTTTTATTTACATTCAGGCTATTGACTTCATTACAACATTTTGTCCATTTTACTCTTCAGCTTTCATATTGGAATTGAGGAGGATCATGGCTTTGTGATCATGAAAGACTGCCTTAAATATAATCTCCTTTTCCAATTTGCCTGACTGCTGCTCTGATGTCAGGCAAGAAAATACTTTTGATTTAAAATTCCAAGTTCTAGGTTCAAGATTGACAATAGCCTAGTGGATTAAAGTATTAGTTCATGAATTTGGTGATATTGTGAGTTCAGTCCATGGGCTGGGTTATACAAACTTATTGGAAACAGCCTAAGCAATAACTGAGTAGTACTAAATAAGAATGGTGGATAGACAGTGAAACAATAACACTTAACTCCTGTAGATTAAATAAAAAGTTCAGTTTGAAATTACCTGAAGGTGACCAAGATCGATAGGTTCCTGATATAGACTTGCATTCAGTGATCTTTCTCTTCCTGTTCTTATATCAACATCTATGGAACCAACTTTGCCAACATCATTTCCAATACATTGAAGTTGACATTCAATTTCAATGGTTGTAATCAACCAAATATGTGTGAATGAGCTTATTGAAATACTCTTCATGTGTTGACAGCTTCGCAGTGCCAGTGGATACAATTTTTTCTGCATGAAAGAATTCATATGCAATTTCATGTCAGATGCAGTTTTGTCAGGCTGCTTCTTATCTGTAAAAAAATCATTGGTTAGAAGTTTAAATCTCTAATGCTATACTAACAACATCCACCCCTGACAATGTTAGTTATTTCAAGAAATCTTTTGGTGTAACCAACACTATATTTACTTTGTAAGTATGGCTGGATCAGTTGGTTTAGAGTGATAAGAGATAAAGGTAGTAATTTGAGAAATTATGAGATGTAACAGGAAGTTAGGTTTATGGGTTCTAACATTTCTATATAACCAGGATAATATTTATCCACAATTTTGCTGAGTTTCATACATGATATCCTCTACTTCAGGTCTATTCATGGTGCAACTAAGGGTTAGAACTCAAAACCTATTTTAAAAAGTAATATAGTTTAGTTTGGTTTGTGGTAACTTGACTGTATTCAGCTTAAGAATTTCAAAGAAATGTTTACTTTTATGCTTAGCTTATTTAATTGAAGCAAGTATGAGATTTCTCTTTATTTTGTTTCCTTCAGACATGCTATATTATTTTATATTTATTACAAAAACAAATTCACAAAAACATTTTGGAGTCTTCATTTTGTCACTTGGAAGTTTATTTAACATTTTTCCCTTTGTCAATTTAATTTTCTTTATGAAATTTTGGTCTATAAAAGCAGTTACACTGATGGTAAAGTTTCTTTTTTTTTCTGTAGAATCTGTATTTCTAACAGGTAAAAATGTACATTGAATTTTACCACAGTTCTTATACTGTAATCTAACTTTTCACACTGCAAAATTTAAGAAAAGAAATTGGAGATCTAGACAAGGCAGTCTGCTCTAACCAAAATAAAATGTCTCATTTTACTTGATTTATAGAAATAATTTATTAATCTGATTTTTTTCTAATCTTTCCTCTTTCAAATTTAACAAAAACTCTCTCAAGAAAGTTAACTTTGATAATGCTTTGTTTAATTTTGAAGAAAACCTTTATTCCAAATACTTTTTTCCTCTATTTTGTTTTTACACTTGAAAATTTATTTAAAAATACCATTATTTATCAATTATTCATAACAAATATATTGATAATAAAATTTAATTTATAATTTGTGTTTTTCTTTGTAAAAATTATTTTTTTTAAAATGTTTTTTATTTTATCATTCAAAAACAAAATATAAGTAAATATAATATTTTTATATTTCAAAATGAATGAAAAATCATTAAGAATGCTGTTACATGAAGTTAATATATAATTAAATTCAATAGATCTAATTTCATATTTTTAGATATCATAAACTAAATGTACAAAATATTAACCATAATCCTGCTGATAAACCATATATTTTTAAGAGTTATTTTTCTGGGTACTTCAGATCATAAAAATGTATATTTATAACAAAGTAAGTCAGCATAGTAATAATTACTTAATTTCTAAACAATAACAAAAAATAAAAGATCTTTTCATGTTTATTTTGTTTCATGTCATATTTTTGTTCCAGAATTCATAATTCTGATATGGTTTCATTTAAAATATTTTTTAAGTTGGATAATTAATTCAAAGATTAAAATGGATATAACAAAGAACTAAATGTAAAATTTTTGAAATTTTCATAGACTTGTATGTGAAAAGTAATGTTTTTGACAAAATTTCAACATTATTTGCCTCATATCTTTTGCCAGAAGTTTTGGCTTCCTCTTTGTCTTATTTAATATTTCCCAGTGTCCACATCAAAATTATATATATTTTCATTTATTTAACTTTCAACACATGTTTATCCCTAAGTATTGGTTAATTAGAAATATTTTCCAAAAGTGTTGAGTTTTCTGCCAAAAGTTCTGAAATCCAAACATTTTGAAATAAGCATCTAGTTTTGGCCTTTAATTGAACATACGTCAACCTGTAGCATAAAAACATAGTTTCATGGATACAATTTCTGCATTATTAACTGTAACAAGTCTGTACAGATGTACTGCAGATTTTATTATCATTAAATTTAATGCAACCAGCTTGATATTTCACTCTGTTATCTAATCTATGCCTTCTATTTCCACTTTAAAATGATTTGCACTATCTTTGGTTATGTTGAGTTCATGTGTACCATTCATACAAGTAAAAAAAAACAAAAAAAACTATTGAATCATATTTTTTGTATTTTCTACATAAACATCACATAAAGCTTCTTTTTTTTTTTTTCTTTAATTGTGACTGATGATGAAAAGTAGATACTTTACAAGGAACTTCTTTTTATAACATTTTGGAAAAGTTAATGATTGATTCAAACAAGTGCTGCCCCCAATTAAACTAACTGAAAACATCAATGCAAAATTTCCACAATTCATTAAGAAGAAAGATATAATATTCCATCAACTTGAGATTACATATTTACTTGGTGATCAGAAAAAAATTGTTACAGTAGATATTGCACCTTTTACATTAAAATTTATTCAGGGGTTAAGATTCCTTTTAATGAAGAGTTATTCAATTGTCTGGCAGACTGGGAATTATACCTCAGACATTTCTTTGCTGAGAAAGCTAAAATGTTCTATGACTATTAAGATGGAATTCTGAAGTTGCCGAAAAGATAGCAAAATGGTGTATATATATATATATATATATATATATATATATAGTGAACATTCCTTTACAGTTGTATTTTCCATTTTAAGGAAATCACATTTCCTTGTTCAGATTATTTATTTTAATTTTTCCCTTAAAAGGAAAAATAGAAACTTGCTGGACTGTTGGCTCTCTGTGGCTGAGCAGTCTAAGGTGGATGCAGGTTCAAATCCTGCCAAAGAGCATATTTTATTTATTAAGATTTCTTAAATTCGTAGGTCAAAAGATGTAAAATATAAACAGGGCATCTATTCAAATATGGGTATCCACTAAAAATAACATTTGAAGCAATAAAAATATTGAATTAAAAATGATTTCACTAATTCTTTAAATCTATTTATCATATTAAAATTTTTTCTTTTCTTTTCCTCACAGAATCTAATCAGGGTGAAAATTTAAATGGAAAGTTCCTTGTAAGGAAGAGTCGAAACAATCCCAGTGATGAAGTCATTTCCATTGTACTTGATAAAAATGTTCTGCATTTTCAAATTCGTCACAAATTTGACAATTGTTTTCAGATTGATGATGGACCCATTATGCAAGGTAAGAAAATATCCACATTTTATTTATTTATTTATTTTTTTTTGTTTTTTTGTTTACTTCTTTAAGACAGATCCTTATTACTTCCTGTCTACATGTTTATTTTAGATCTGAGGAGATCCTATCATGAAATTAATAAATTAGAAACCAATCTTACTATTTTTATGTACATTTTCATTATGTATTTTTATATTAACGTTACCTTTCAATTTAAAAATGACACATTTAATTATTCTGTAATGTATCATGGCAACAGTGTGTGTTATTCACATTGATATCAGTGATAATATTATACCAAGAGTTCAATTCTTTATAGAAAATATCTTTGTACCAAAGAGATAAAAATCAACTTTTCTGTATATTTCTAAGGCAGATGCTTACATGTATGGTCTTCTGTAGTGAAAATGGGTATGGTACCTTCAACAAAAAATTACCTGGAATTTTTTAGTAATACACCTTGCTTGATGATGAGCCATGTCTCATGCAGCTCACTTATCATAAAAGCTTGCCCATGCCTGTCCTATGGTAAAGTGGGTTGATATGTTCATCAAGCTGAACAAATCCAGTCGCAAGAAAAATAAAGTGATTTGCAGGATAACAAAAACAATTTATTTAATTAGGGTTAATAAAGGAGAGCAGTATGCTTGTTTCTAAGTCAATAAATATTATAAGGAAATTAATTAGAGTTGAAAAAGTAAATTCATAAAATTGTTATTAGGCAATTTATTCAAACTAGTATCCTCATTTTGGTTGTTTTAGTCACAATAATTTAGCCATTATTCACACTGCCTTCTTCAGATATGGTTATTAGAATTTTGAATCTATCCTTTTATTTGTTTTATTTTTCCTGTCCGTACTATGGGATATCTCAAATTTGTTAATTTGTCCTTGTGATGTCATTTCTGTTCATTCTTCTAAACCAGAGTTTATAACATTTATTGTCTATCCTAGGGATTGAAACTCCCACAGGAGCTGATCAATTTTAGGAACACCATACAGAGTAACAACTACCCTACAAAAATATCACCTCCCATGAGCAAAAGTAAGAGTAGAGAAAAATAGTTGGAAAACTACCATGATTCAGAGGGTTTGCTATCTATACAATATCAGGAAAATATTTAAAAACAGTTCCATCCTTCTAAGGTACCTGACTAGGGCCAAGCCTCCATCACATGAGAACATGACTAAGAACTGTGTATATAGCATTTCCTGAAGTTGTGAAATAGAGATAAGATCTTGCCACATTCTAGAAATTAGGCTGGAAGTATATTGGAAAACAATAGTCTGAAGCTGAGTATGATTGATATGTGGAGAGGAAAAGGTAGGGGTAAGGGGGGGGTCACTAATCACTGTGGAATTAAATCATAATAATAGAGCAACATTGGAAAATAAAAATAATTGAAAGAATAAGCTTTCATACAAAGCTGTGATAACTTCCTCAGTAAGTCCAGCATAAAATTGAAATACCATATAGGAATCTTTGAACAGGAAAAAACAGACCTTTTTTGAGGTTCCAGAATTCCATGATCTGATTGTTCTTTGACTTAGTGATTATAAGTATTAGCTATGCATGTACAATTTTCCTGGAGGTTATTCGTTCAATGCCTGGGTCATACAGCAACATCCAAATACTCTGGTTCAATGAAACACAGTATCATAAGGATGGCTTTAAAAAATAGAAGATTTAACATGAACAGTATAATGAGATATTTTATAAAACCCAAGCACATAAATTTAAATGATAATAATTCCTCAGATCAGAAAATTGTAAATAAAAAGTTAAGCACAAAAATATATTCTAATTCAAGATTTCGAACATCTTCATCTCTTTCAAAATTATTTAATATTATGCTATTAGCCTTTTCTAATGGCAATATAATTTATTAAACATTTTCTATTAAATATTTTTTTTTGAGTAACAATATTAAAAATTAATGAATTCATCTTAATGAAAGACAAGTGTTTTAGATTCTAACTTAAAGTTGAACATCTACTGTAGAGCAATAAACTCATTCTGCAAGCCATTGTTTGTAAATTCACTCCTCACTAGGTGTCCCATTATGATGTCTTTATGTCAGAAAAGGAAAATTACATTCTAATTTAAATTTGAACTTTGTTATTTGAGAAATTACATTAACTGTTTCTAATGGGAATATACTTTAAATGACTCAGTGATTTTGTTTTGCAAGATCAGTCAGAAAGTAATACCTATTTTTTTAATTGAAGAACAAATATAACTTTTCGACCAACCCCCATATATCTGTAACTAAAGTTACACATTAAAAATTTATGAATTAATTTCAATTCTCTCTCTTAACTTCAAGAATGAAATATTGGAATGAAATTCCAACTAAAATAGAATATGGTGGTAAAAGTTTTACATAATTCTGTCCCGTAAACATTTTGTGACTTGATTTTAATACAGCAATAAAAATTGATATTGTATTTAAATTTTTGAAGATCAAAGTTGAGTTAAAATCAAAATGTCAGAAAAGAGTTCCACAAGCAAGAAGTGTCAGAGAAGAAACTGTTAGCATAGGTGTTATGGTTACATCTTGCCATTTCAGTTGTAAAATGAGACCTTGTGGCTATTCTAATCTTCTTTATGTGCCATGTCCCCTCAGGATGTAGGCAATCATGGCTCTCCACAACTTCCTGTCCCTTGTAGCTCTTAATAAATTTTGTCTTTCTATTATTTCTCCTAAACCCTGTACTGCCATCCATTTACTTCAGATCACTAAGTAAGTATTGTTTTCCTTTGTCTATCTTGTCCTCTATCTGTCCCATTAGTGTCAGATTTTCCAAGCCCTCCCTCATCATTATATACCACATGAACTTCAACTGTCTCTTCCTGATGTTAAGTATTAGTTTCCTTTTTGTTTACATTTACCTTTGTTGTTACTTACATGTTTGGGCCACAGTATCCTCAGCATCCTTCTGTAGAACCACATTTCTGTTGCTTCAAGTCTCCTCTTCATCTTAGCATAGATTGTCCAGCACTCACTGCCATACAGGAGGACAGATATCACATAGCAGTTTAGTATTCTTTTCCTAGCAAAATTTTCCTATTTCTTAGTACTTAGCTTAATTTCATTGGCTATCCCAATATGCATTCGGATAACTCTTTTCATCGTCTGTTAAAACACTTCACACATATTTAAATTTCTGCACTTGTTTGATTTTAGTACTTCCAATTTGAAATTCCCACTTTGGGCTCAACTCTTTTGCTGACTGCCATGCATTCTGTCTTCTTGAAATTAATGTTTAATCCTTTCTTCTCGCTTTCCTTCACTACATTCTGTAGTAGTTTTTTTTGCTTTCTATGTCTGCTATCAACACTGTGTCATCTGCATATTTTATGTTGTTAAGATTGTGGCCACCAATAATAAATCTTGGTAGTACTTATAATTCTCTCAGAATCGTCTCGCTGTATAAAGTTGAATAAGTCCGGTAAGAAGACACATCCTTGTCTTACACCCCTTTCTATTTTTGTATATCTGCCGAACTCATTTTCTAGCCATGTGTAGACCATTTACTGCCAGTATAGATCCTTGTTTATTTTAATATCTTTCCAATATATAGCAAGGTTGCTGAGCAGTTCCCACAGATTTTTGTGGCATACTTTATTGAACACTTTTGTGTAATTTATAAAACACAGACACATGTCCTTCAGCATTTGTATTGCTCTTTCTGATAACATTCTAGTACACTTAAATGCATAAAGTCTAGGTACCAAAGAGAAAAGCACATCAGAATAATTGTCATGAAAATATTTATAGAAAAGGCACAGGGAAGCTATCCGGGTGGGAGGGGGAGTGACTGAATCTTGAATTGAGAAAGTGATCTCCTCTTCTTTTTTTTTTATTTTTATATGATTTAAAGCTAATATGAAAAGCAGGGTTGGAGTGATTATTTGGATGATTTATGATCTAAGGTTTTGTTTTTTTTTTTCTTTTTTTTATTTGATAGGAATTGACAATATTATCAAGCATCATAAAGAAAAGAAAGATGGCCTCCCTTGTACACTCACAGACTTTGTTCGTGGCCATCCTTTGCCTGACACTCTTCGATATCAAGGACAGACAAACCTTTTACATATGGCAGTTGCTGAACGTAAGTAATTCATTAAACTCAATTTGAAATATTCCCAGTGTTTTCTTCTCTCATTCTTTCTCCTCCTCTTTATTACTCTATCTTTGTTTACTTGAATCATTCTAATCATATATTTTATTGTTATACCTGTAGGAACCTGTTTGATGGTTGAGGTAGTTGGGTATTCACTATCAGTATCCCCACCCCATCTCCACAGTTTTTTAAGCCCAATAAAAGACAAGTTTTTCTGTCTTGGAAGACTGATGCAGCACATTCTTTATATTCATATATTTTTAATAAGTATTCTTTTATTTACATTCAGACTGATGGCATCGTTCTTGCTATTAGCATGTTTCAGCTGTTGTACCCTCTAGCCATCTTCAGGTTTCTGTCAATCTGGATAATATTCAGGGGATTCCAAACTGAAACCTTTTAATTAATCTAGTGTGGGCATAAATAGTTCATATTCTGTTTGAGATTAAATATGAGTTTTAACATAAAGGAAATTTGTGAAATCTTTTTGAAGACCATAATGAAAAAGTTTCATAAAGGAAACTAGAAGAGTACATCTGATGGTTTTTTCCAAGATTTGACAGATTTTAATTAGATATTTTCTTTATTGTCAAAAAAATCTCACTTATTAACTATTTTTGAAGGGGTGATAATTTTGTGTCAAATTGTTTTAAGTGGGGGGGGGAAATGAAGATGAAAAATGTTTTGTCATTCGTGAAATGTTACATTGTCATTAACAGGGACTTTTCTATAAGACATGTTACCCATATGACCAGCTGTTTGTGTTTTACCTGCCTTTTCAATAAGGTTGTTGTGAAGATATTTGAACCAGAAGAGTTACTCTCTGCACACCTCAAGAAAGATATGTCGGTATAAAGAGAATTTTCGGCCAGGATGATGGAAAGGAGGAAATTTAAAAACACTTTCTTCAAGAAAGCTCCAATGCAAAGAGGATCTAAATTGATATTAAATGATTTTGATGATTTGCTACCACTGCTACAATGATAAAATTCTGATTGTAAAGAATCTTGTGGCCTGAAGTAAGAAAGTAAACTTGGTCTAAATTAGACTTTATTGTAAGAGGGAAACTTACATCTCACCAATGGAAAATGAAGTATATGAGAGTGATTTGCTACATTGGGTGTAGTATGGTAGATCTTATCCATGAAGCTTAGAACTGGTGGAACAAAGGAATGTAGTACATCTGAACACTTTCCATGCAAATAGCAATAAAGGCTTGCAATGTTTTATCTATGGAAAAGAGGTTGTAAGGTGGAATATAATTCATCACCCACAAGACCATGGAGAAGCTTTTGAGCTCTATCAAAACTAGAAAGTGAAGACTAGGCAGCTCCAGCTATATATGGTAGCAGTACTCCCTTTTCAGCTTAATCTGACTCTTGTAAAAGTAGAGGATAGCAGAAGGAGTTAGGTACTTACTGGAGTGGTGCAGAGGACTGACCATTTTCCAGCATCTTTAACAATGGATCATGTGTATGTTTCACATGAGGTGTGTGTTGAGCTTAAGTCCCAATAGCTGTTCAAGGCATGCAGGCTCTCTATTCATCGCAATAGGTGTAAATTCTGCTTGGTGATGGTGGAACATCACCAGTTTGGTTTTCAAGGCATTGAATGTGACCTGCAAGTTTTCTACCCACTGAGCTGTTAGAGCTAGGTCAGAGGATAGATCAGCTGCTAAGCTCTTGTCATCTATCATTTTGAAGGTACATCCATATATACCATTGTATCATCAGCATAGATATTCACAAATGATCAGAGTATACTGTTTGGCAGATCATTTATGGAAAGTAGGAAGAGTCATCCCTCATTCAGCTAGGTCAGAGGATAGATCAGCTGCCAAGATCTAGTCTTCTATTGTAAAGCAGGAAGAGAATTAGACTTTTGGACTTGATTAGCAAACATTGAGGGACACCCCTGCATTGATCACTTGGGCTTTGGTGAACTGACTGTTATCTACATTCTGGGACCTACTCATGAGGAAGAACTTTATTCAAAAGACTCTTCTAGTGATTCCATAGCTGGAGAGTTTGTGCAAGAACACTTTATGCTACACAATGTCAAAGGCCTTCAAAATATCTAATGCAGTGGTCCTTGAGATGTATTTATTGTCTAATGTCTCATTGATTCTATGAGTAATGAATGTGAGTAGTGAACTAAGCCAATTGAAATACATACTGCTTGTCACTCAAGAGATTATTCGTATTATGGTAATCGACGACCTTCTTGTTGATTATAGCTTCAAATAGTTTGCTAATGACACTGAGGAGGATGATGAGTTGATACTGAGACAGGGATGAGTGCTCACCCACATTAGATGGAGATTTGTGCTCATTATAAGGTGTTAATTGTAGAGTCATATTGAATGTACATTTTATGTATTAGCTCGATTGAAATATTTTTACAAAATTTTGGCTCAAGACTGCATATTACCAAGTTCAGCTGAATGATGATTTCAAAGAAATTAATATCATTAATACACTTATTGTTTTGGTGTGAGGGACACAAATGTCTTATAGCATAAAAACTTATAGCAGGTGAGGTTCTAGACTAATGTTTTTTTCACCATTTAGAAAATGAGAAAGGAAATTATTAGATTAGAACTTAGCTATTTCAACAGTAAAACAATGAGACCTAGTAGCCAATCAAGTACTACACTTAAATTCATGCAGTCAAGGTACCAAGGATACAGGCTAGATGAGTAATTTGTTGCTAAGCAGTAGAGGAAGTTATGCATGTTCATGTTATACTGTTGGCAGATTATGAGTGAATGAACAGCTGAAGCAGGGAATTAACATCAAATGAAAATTAGTAAATATGCTAGTGAAATATTAGCAGCACTATTATGGTGAATATGCTGTGAAAAATATTGAATGTCTTTGAGTGGCATTTGTGGTTCAAGGAAAGACAAGAAAATGAACATGATGCCACAATAACAAATGTGGACAGAATGGCAAACTTGGTGCAATCAAAGACCAAGTGTGTGAATGATTGCAAAAATGGACCATCCCTTTTGTTCACTAGACTTAAATATCCGTTGTATAAAACCTTTAGCTATGATAAGAAACATTAAATGCTAATACTTTATTCAAAAAACCAAATGATAAAAAGTTGAAAACAAAAAGGGTGATCATGTTGTGAAGTGAATTTTGAATGGGATATTAATTTTTTTTTTTTTTTTATTAAAAAAAAAAAAAAGACTTGTTTAATAATTTGAAAATAAATATAAATACAATATTTTCACTATTAAAAACTACATCCTTTGATGGCTTTCAGCCAATGGGTCTTAGTAAAGACCACTCTTCTTCAAACCTTGTGGAGTGGCGATACAAAATCACAAAGAACTGTACCAAATAACTGAAATCACGTCACTTGAGAACATTCAGGAATAGCAACATCTCAAAATGGATATCACATGTAACTTAAAGGAGAAATAATGACCAAATCTAAATGTTAACATTCCACATTATTTCAAACCAAATGTTAGAAATGTCTGTAAAATATTTGAAAATGAATGACATCATAACTGTTTCACTCAATACAAAACTCAAAAGCCACTTGTGGTAGAAGGTTACTGAATGAGATGTACTATATGTGTGGCGTGACCAGGGCCGCAGCCTGCTGTCTTTGGTCAGGATCGATTCCAGTATTGGAGAACAAGCCGTCAGCCCACACTCATCAGTGGTTGGTGGCATTTGACACTGCAGCTGGTCTTTAAGTTGACCTCTTCAACTATGACCTCTCTTACCCACGTTGTGATTTTTGATCTTAAGAGGGTCAAGCTGAATTATCACTGGGGTATCTCGACCAAGCTAAACCAAGGAGTTGAATACACGCACAAAATTGAAAATAAACAGATGACACCCGAATAAGTCACTAGATGATATTTATATCAAAATAAAAAAAATAGTTCTTTTTTTTCTTTTTTTTCTTTTTCTTCTTTTCCCAACCCGTTTCTAATTGGTGATGGAACGAAAATTTCGGCTAACTTCTCTAAGGGTGGCCAGACTTGACAACTGGATTTATCTTCAAGTACTGTTGATTGTACTTTCAAAGATGGCACAAGGATATCATCAGAGTTTTTCTTCTTCAGCAGATAATTATTATTATTATTATCATTAGGTTGGCAAAACAGCATAATGACAAAAAATCTCTTAACTCCCCGTCCGTGTAACTCGCTGCAACTCCAGACCACAGCTTCAACTAATTTAGCCCCCGTGGACACTTGTATTTATGAGTGTCCCTTCCAACTGGTATGGTGCAGGTGCATAAGGGGGTTTAATGCAAATTTCCTAAAATTCAACCAGTCTCCTTCTTTTGTTTTCTGTTTCACACTTCCAATTTTGGAAGATTTCCCCCCTCCTCCGGGAGGAGCCATTATATGATGTCAATCTTCCTGCCTCCTTCTTTTGTTTTCTGTTTCACACTTCCAATTTTGGAAGATTTCCCCCCTCCTCCGGGAGGAGCCATTATATGATGTCAATCTTCCTGCCGTCTCCTTCTTTTGTTTTCTGTTTCACACTTCCAATTTTGGAAGATTTCCCCCCTCCTCTGGGAGGAGCCATTATATGATGTCAATCTTCCTGACGTCTCCTTTTTTTGTTTTCTGTTTCACACTTCCAATTTTGGAAGATTTCCCCCCTCCTCTGGGAGGAGCCATTATATGATGTCAATCTTCCTGACGTCTCCTTTTTTTGCTCATTCTGTCTTCACAATTATAATTCTGTTTTTCAGAGAAATTTTGGTTAATAATTTTCCCAGTACATAGACATTGACACCTTTCAACAGTCGACTTTAACCTCTGGCCCCTAGACCTGCCAACTGTGTCTTGCTGAATAGTAACAATTGTATTGTGTATTTTTTCCACAGAATTCGTACACCTGTTCTCAATATCCTGGGAAAATGAGTCTCTTTCTGATAAAAAAAAAATAAAATCATTTTTTTAACCCTTTTCGTCCGGATGCCATGTTAAATTTTGTTACATATGAATGTAAAAAGCAGAAAGAAGTGAAGATTATTAGGATATGGGTGATAGATAATGTTTGACCTTTGACTTGTAGTGTTCATGGATTGATCCATGTGGTAGTTTGTTCCATAAAGTCGCAGTTCTTAGTCGGGAAAGCAGTCTAAGTAAAACTTTCCCACTATCTTTGGAATATGGAGGAAATGCAGATTATTTAACTCTGTGAACATAGCATGGTGTGTTCTAGCTATAAAAGTTTGAACTGGTAGAACTAAAGAGTGGAGCTCATCTGAACGTTTGGCATGTGGAAAAGTAGCTGTAAATTGAGAAATATCATTGAAATTTATGGAAGTACAATTGAGTTGCTTAACTTAATTTCTGTCTAGCTTATTGCAATCTAATATTGGTTTGTGAATTTAGCTGACTTAGTTGTGAGTTCAATCCCTGGGCCAGGTAGTACAGACTTGGAATTATTGAAAACAGTCAAGTAAAAAGGAACATGAGATATCCCGAGACATGTACAACAGAATGAGAACAAGCTATCCCTATAGATTAAATAAAATGTTCAAGTCAGTATTCCTGAAGGTAGATCAACAAATTGGAAAAAGAACAGATTCAAGTCAAATATAAATAATGTAGAAAGTTTTTTTTTTTTCTAAAATCAAACTGAAATTAGTGTAAATGAACATTCATTAAATATATTAATAGTTATGACTCAAAAATCCAAACTAATACAGGTTTCTTAGTCCAAACATAAATAAATACTACTTAAAATTGAATTTTTTTCTTAAATCAAACTGAACCATTAGTTCAAATATTATCTTTGAGGTATGTCTTGTTTTAATTATTTATAAATAATCTAAAAAAATGTGTTACAGAAAAAAATTAATAAAAATTTATTAAATCTTTTTTTAGTGATAGTGGGTAAGAGTTTCAGAGTTGGCCTGAAATTTAGTGTGTTTTTTTTGTTTTGTTTTTTTTTTCCTTTTTACTTTTTTTTTTTTTTTCCTTTATCAATTCACCCCAATCAAGATGATAATACTGCTAAGATTCAAGAGGATACTGGGAGTGTTCAAAGGAACTGGATCCCATCTTTAAAAATACCAGGGAGGTTTGTGAACCAGATGATAGGCAATTATATCTATTTCTATTGAAGGAAAAGAATAAAAAATAAATAAAATTTTAAAGTTTAAGAACAAATGCTTGAAGTATAGAGTTGAAATTGACTTTAGAAGGAAGCAGAAACTCAATACTATACAAGAAACAAACCACTATTCCTGTTCAAAAGAAATGGGAGGAGTGTGAACTGGACAATAGTCAAAACTATATATTCCTATTGTTGCCAATAAATAAAATCTTTATCTTTTTAAAGAAAAAGAAAAAGGTAAGTTTTGGGTCCATAATACATGATGGGTGGGGGTCTTAATTGGAAAGAGGTAAATTTTTCTCAATATGCAATTTTTATTTTTATTTAAGTAAAGAGGGGTTTGAAATTAATTTAAAGGATCAAAATTGTGAAATTAATAAGTGAGGTGGTCTTAATAAACTCTGTGTGGAGGTGGGGGAAAATTTACTCAAAAGAAAAATGGCCTTCCCCTCCATTAGTCACCTAAAAGTAGGCAAATGGAGTGTAAATACACCAAAAATATACTTGGATATGAAATTGCGTCAGGTTTACTAGCAGTATGTAAGATGTAATGTGCTTGCAAAATTTCTTTGCTCAAACAACTTAACACCAACTTAAAGGCTATGACTCAACTTGTAAAATGAATTTTATAAAAGAAAATAATCTTATTTTGCATTGGTTTATGAAAAATTGTTTTTTCTGGAATGTTTTCTTTTACATGAATCAAGTTATTAATAGCAATTTCTTTTTGACTTTTTCTGTTTCCTTAATAGCTTACTGCTGCTTTCTTACCAATATCTTTATTTATCTCCCAACCCTTCTTTCAACAATATATGTGACTTTGTTCTAAAAAGTGCAAGCAGTAACCTATTTTTGGGATATAGATTATATGAGAGTATAAAACAAAAAAAATTAGATTGGTTGAGATCAAAAACTGTTTACAGTAGAAAGTAATTAATCCATTTCAACACATTTACAATGCTTCATGTTTTCTGTAAATCAATTCCTGTTCATCAGTTAAAATCTTAAAAGAAACTGAATCCCTTTGTATAGCTTCATTTGGTCAACTTATTAATAATTTACTTGTCATTGACTACAACGAAATTAGAACTGAAAGTTGTTTCATACTTCATTAACTTTGACACTGTAGACAACTTCTTTGATTAAAGAAAAGGTTTGTCCTTGCCACTATGGGTAACTCAGATCACTGAACAATTGTTTGCTTGAATTACTTGGTTGTGTTATCATAACCTGCTACGGCAACAGAGAATCACCTTAACTGTAATCAACAATAGGATTACTATTTTCAAATTACTTTTTATAGAAATTTTTATCCTTTTTCAAAAGATTATAAATCTGAGTTGATAACAATGTGTGTAGCACAAGTATTAGCATCTTAAAATGAGAAATGGTTGAGCCATGTTCGAATTCTGATTGAGTCTGTTATATTCACTTTTGCAAAAATAACTTTGGAGAAGGTATGAATCTATTTCTTCCTCCACAACTGTGGGTTAAATAGTGGGGTAGACTGGGCTCTCTAGCCAGTGTAAAAGAAGGACAATTCCAAATTCAAAACCCAACTACCAAATACTATATCTACAAAACAAAAACAGGATAGATTATAATAAAAAAAATAAAAAATTTCAACAACTATGGATGATCCCAGTGAAGATCAATTATTCAGAATGCTGTTGATACCAATAGGCATTGGACCCAAGAAAGGTGGGAAATAAAAATGTGTTCAGATCAGGAATAAAATGTTGAGAAAGCAACAATCAATGATGAAACTTTATGGAAAAAGAAATTTTTCTTGAAATTCTTAACAACCAACTTGACACAAACTTCAATTATTTTCCTTTTCATAGATGGAGTTACAAAATGAAAACTTGTAAGCATTTACCCTTAAATCTTGCATTGCCTAAATGTTATTTTACATTTTTATCTATTTTTTTTATCTTTATATTCCCTGAATGAAAAAGATACTATTTATTTAATCTGAAAATTGACCAGTGATTGATTAGAAATTTGTTTTCTCTGAAATTTTGCAATCTTAAAATGTAATAAAGCTTTTTTTACAATATGATGATCTATAAAAACCTATATTCAGTGAGCTGAATTTTAATCCCAAAGAATATGAATTGGTTAACATCGTGCAGTGGTTCTCAAACTTTTTTGGGTTGCTGCCCCCTGGTATACCAAAACAAAATCCTAACGCTCCCTCCCCATAAATGTATAGTCAACCTTTGATTGGATTTTCTTGGTGCAAGTATTGCATGTCAAATATGTATTTCCCTTAATTGTTATATAATTGTATGTATTTCCCTTAATTGTTATATAAATGGATACACTCTCAAGTGAATGCAAGATACACTTCAGGTACAATGGATGTATACGGTGTTTGTTATAGTTCAGATGGACCACTGCCACTGTCCAGCTGCCCACTTTTGTTTTTCTCACTGGCCCCACCCCTGTGATCTCCCTCTTTGGGGAGTACCACCCACTTTAGGAATTGCTGACTTAGTGCAATGAATAAATTGAGTAATTGCTCTGTAATAGAAATGCAACCTGTTTGAGTGACATGGTTAATTCCTTTCTGTAAAATGTCAAATTTTGTTAATGCAATGACAATGTTTTTTTTTCATAGAATTGATTTGGGTAACAATACAGATCTTTCTACAATTTCTTCTGTACAACTTCAAAAGAGGTTTTGAAATAGATTTCTTGTATAGTTCACTTGTGAGATGTTTTGCATTTTTTAAATATAAAAATATAGTAAAAAAGAATTGTGTTAGTGTTGAAACTATTGTCATGTAATGATTCATTCATGTTTTCAAATCACAGAATATTTACTCTTGTTATATTCTAAATAAGAATACATTTAAATTAATTTTTGTTTTCTTCCAGGAAATAAAGTGTGTGTGATTAAGATTCTTAATAGCCCTAAATGTCCCAATATAAATTCAAGAAATGCTGATGGTAAGTAAGAGTACTTTAATATTTTTATTCTGCATTCATCGATTCACATGGATGTCCACATCTTTCTTGTTATGAGGTGGACACTAATCAGAATAAGTTAAAGGATGTTAATTCAGAAATTATTTTATATCTCGTATAATTTACAAGTGTGAGTGAAAACAAATATCTGTAAAGTGATTTGTTATAAGAAAATTATACATGATGATGAAATTTGGGTTGTGGTAAGTCAAAGGCAAAATAAAGGTTCCATCCATCAAGCACTACAAAAACTATTCACAATGCAACAAGTTCCATGCAGATGGAATTGCCCTCCACAATTTTGCCATTCATAACGGATAAAAGAAAAATTTAATTCAAGTGATTAATATTCACGAAATTGTAGTGAACTAAACAAAAATAGCAAAGACCAAGAAAAAAAAAGTTTGATTTTAAAATGTCAGTACCTTTTCTTCTTGCAATTCAAAGATATAAAAAGGATGAAATTAATTTTGAAAAACAATTTATATTTAAAAGACAAGAAAATGTATGATCTTGTTAATATCTGTTTCTTTACAGTATCTTCCAAACAGTATGGCTGGGAAGTAACTTAAATTGTTTTTTATTTTTTTCTCTTTTAATTTTTAAAGGAAAACTAAAAAGTGAAAGGAAATTATAATAAGAATATATAAGTAGAGATAAGAAACATAAGTTCAGGTTGTTGTCTGATGATTGCATTTGCAAAAATCTTGAGGTAACTATTTGGATCTGGTCTCTTTATGTTGTTTTGTTGGTTAATGTTACTGCTCAGTAACATTAACATTGTTTTCTATAGGATTTGAGCACTTTAGGTTATTGCTGAGGTAGGTGACTGTCTTTCCTTTTCATGTTTCCTATCCTTTCTTTTGCCATTATTTTTGTCTGTATTTTTTCTTGGTTTCTTTTTCAATTTTTTTTCATTTGGCAGGTTTTGTGTTGATAGTTGCATTTGAAAGCTTTACTTTGATTTGTTTTTGTTAACTATATATATATATATATATATATATATATATATATATATATATATACAGTGATACCTCGGCTTAAGTTGTTTTAAGTCATTTTTGAAGATACGTTGGTTTTTCTTAAATATTATAAGGAAAAATAAAACTCGCCTTAGGTTTGTTTTACCCGAGTGTTTACATTGTCCATTAAAATATTAGAAACGTCAAAATACTAAACTAACAAACACACATAAAACCATGTTTAAATTAATTTTAAAATAATATTAAGTATAATATATCATAAAATCATCAAAAACAAAACAATTAGCATAATAAAGTATGTTCAATAGGTGGTACTCATGCATTATTTTCCACTCCAATAGTGATTTTGAATTCAGACTTGTTTACATCTGTGCTCTGCCGTTGACATTCTTTCAATTACATTTCAATTATGATTTAGAATACTTTTTTGCCCATGGCTCCGAAGAAAAGTGCCAATGCTAAGTGTAAGGCTGTATCACTGGAAATTATTTTATTCAGAATACTCTGCGTACGTATCATAAATACTGTAATAGACAAAGGAGAGTGCTTATTTGCAGTTAATGTGTTTATTTTGACTTAGGTCGAAAAATTACTTAAGTTGTGACCTCTGGAACCAATTAACAATGTAGGGCGAGGTATATTCATGTGTATATGGGATAATTATATATGAAAATCAATATTGGAGGAAAGATATACAACAAAGTGGAAAAAGTATATATAATATAGAATTTGTTCAATACTATGCTTGAGGGCCACTCAAGGTAGAGTAATGAGGTGTGTGAGATAAAAGAAAGATGATAGGAAGTGAAGATTGAGAGTAAAGAAGATGGATAAAGGTCAACCCTAAACTTAAAGAGGTTAAGATTAGTGTTCAGGGAAGCACCCATGTGGGAGTCTGTTCCACAAAGTGGCTGTTCTTAGGGCAAAATCTCTCTGAGTGGAACTTTTTTCTTACCTTTGGAACATGGAGGAAATGATTTATTTTTGTTTTTTAACTCCATTGAAGTAACATATAATGTTCTAGCTGTGAAGGTCTGAACTGATGTCATTGTATGTAATGATTTCTTTTGTCTTAAAAATTTCACTTTCCACTCTTGATAGAGTTTGGAAATATCTACATGGCTTTTTATTTGAATTATTATATATGAATTGTATGAATTATTTTCTACCCTACAACCTTTGCCACAAATTTCACAAGCTTATTGCTACTCTATTGCTATTTCCATTGCAAATGTTCTGGAGTTACATTCCTGAGTTCCACCAGTTCAGGCCTTTATGGCTAAGACACACCGTGCCATGTACATTGGAACAGATCATCCCCATTCTCTTTATATTGTTAGGAAGTTCCATTCAGACAACTTTTTCCCAAGGACTGCTACTTTGTGGAACAAACTCCAAACAGGATGCTTCCCTAATTGCTACAATCTTAACATTTTCAAATCTTGGGTCAACTGATTATAGATTTTTATGTGTATCTATAGTGACAAGAATGTTTATTTTCCAAACATGGTCAGCATGTTGTAGCCATGTTCATAGTTGATATTATTGAGTGTAAGTGTTTTCTTTATTATTAATGGTTCCATTACTTTTTCTTTATTTTTAACTGTAGATATACAAATCTACGTATTCAGTTAAAAAAAAACAAAAAAACAAAACATACCTTGATAATGACAAACAGAAAAGCCTTGGATGTATAAAACATTTGAGCAGTTCTTACACACTTTATGTCCAGAAAAGTACAAAGGCAAGAAGAATTGAATAAAGAGCTTAATCGCAGTATCTTGTCAGTAATCTTTAATGAAATATATGTATATGTAAAAACTAAATCAAAGCCAAGAAATACCTTTGGTGTCCTATCACAACTCATAACTGATAAGACCTGAAAAGAGTGGAAGTTAAATAACAAGAAGGGATCATTTATTATCTCTATCTCTGACTTAATTAACTATTAATGTTTGCTACATGCATTAAAATTTGTGACAGATGAAGGCTGTACGTAAATGTAATATCTATAATAATAAAGCGCAGTGTACGTGTATCCATCCATCCATCCATTTTTCATCTTGGGATTAATGCATACATCTCAAATAAACACAGTGGCGCATGCATAATATGCACCCTACTGGCCTGATTGCAGTCATTCATACATTACTTGCGAGAATAGAAGTATTAGTATTCATCAATTATTTACAGCATTATTATTTTTTTACTAGCCTAAAGTTCACCTGAAGGCTTTTCTTCAAATTAATCTTTGGTAATAATAAAGCACAGTGTACATGTGTCTGTCTATTTATCTGTTTTTCAATCTCAGCAAATCATAAACGACCTGAAGTAACAGGTTGTTACTACTGTAGTTATACGCAATTAAAAATTAAATAAATAACTCATTTAAAGTTCAATTTAAATATTGAACAGTGAAAGGTTTAAAAAATAATTCCTTATTAAAGGTTTAACTTTAATTTAGTTTTTTGTCGCAATTGATATCCTCTAATTAAACTGCAATTAGAACGTAAACGGGGCACAGTACATTGCTCATGTTTTTTTTCTTTTCTAGCATGCATACTGTGACGTATTACAAATATTACATAGTTCAGGTTCCCTAATGTCTTTTAAGAATGACTTTATATGAAGGGATTATAAAGAATGGTGATTTAAAAAAAAATTTGTATGCAAAATAAATGTAAACAAATTATGGAAATCAGTTGTGTATACGAGAAAAGATTATACTGAATTAAGATGTTGAATAAATATAAAATAATTTTATTATTTCTAAATTCTTCTAACTTTTATGTACATAGGAAGCTGAAGGTAAAAGCCGAAGGTCCTCCACAGGAGCTAACTGAAAGTCCCAACTCTAGGCTAGTCTTTAATAATATTGCTTTAATTTATTTTTAGGGGATACAGCACTGCATATTGCCTGTCACACAGGAGATGAAGCCATTGTCAAAATTCTACTTAAACACGCTCCACAAACAAATATTAAGAATCAGCACAAGTGTACACCTCTCCAGGTTTGTATCTGTCTTAGAGATCATCATTTTTTAAAATTGCTTTTGTAACTATTTTCAGAGTTTAAATTCAAAGTGGAACTAAGATTTTGCTATATACTGTGAATAAAGTTTGCACAGAGGAAAATAGATTAAAAAATATCCATAAAATTCCTGGCTATGATGGTCAGTGTATTCTGCTGCCAAAGACAATGCCAGTGTGTTCTGCTGCCAAAGACAATGCCAGTGTGTTCTGCTGCCAAAGACAATGCCAGTGTGTTCTGCTGCCAAAGACAATGCCAGTGTGTTCTGCTGCCAAAGACAATGCCAGTGTGTTCTGCTGCCAAAGACAATGCCAGTTTCTCCCAGCCATTTTGTCTTCCTAGGATCTTTATTTTGTTACGTGTATGTGCAATGCTACAATGCATAAGTGATTTTTTTTTTTTTTCTCTCAACTGTCTTGATTTTTTAAAATCATTTTACTCCTTATTTCTAAATTGAAAATAAATTTTTCTATTACCTAATACTTAGTCACATTGCTTGTCACACCTTTAGATGTTCAGGTTTCATATTTCAAGAATTGGAGTACTTTTCAATAACAAGCCCCTGGGAAATGACAATTCAAAAAACACTATATGAGTGATAAAAACCTAGAATGTATTTAATTTTTTTGTGAGACATGCTGTTACTGTATGTTTCTTATCTAGAAGTGAATGTGCTTTTAGAACCTCCCATACATTTTCATAATCTTTTTCTGTCCCAGTTCTCCAGATTTTCATTAAATTGTTCAGACATCATCACATGAAGAAAAATTGCAAATTATTTTAGAATATCATCACAAATGATTTTGTTGTCAGTTAATCATCCTGTGTTAAAATATGAAAATGTTTGAATTTCTTTTTATATTAGAATGTACAATACAAGATGCTATCAAAATTATAAGAAATAATAAAATTAACAAAAGTATTATGTAAGACATTATACAAAATGAATTCTCTTGAACATTAACAAAATCAGTGAGTTTTTATGGTTTTATTATTCAGCATTTTCTTTTCATATATTTATTTTTTAAATGATAAATTCATTTTAATCTTTCATTGTAAGTATAAATTTGTAGACATTTTAATTTTGGCTCTTTTTAAGAGATATCTTTTTCATAAAAACCTTGTAGTGAATAAATTCTTTATACTGTATTTATCAGAAAGTGAAATTTTGTGTTTATATTTTAACCTCCTTAGATCAAAATAAAAGCAAGATGTATGATTGAACAATATTGAGGTTAATAATACAAAGCTTTTTCTCACCCCCACTCCTTTTAAAAATCTGAACTGTTCTGTTGACCTTTATCTCTCTGTATGTTACTTCATTTACTGTACAAAAAGATTATCCTACCACTGAAGATGAATGACCCCTGAACAATAGTGTGTTTGAATTTCATAGATGTGTTGTCATATCCTGCTATAGCAACAGAAATCAACTTTAAGTGAAATTAACAATAAGTATAATGCAATTGAGATACTTTGAAAAAGAATTCAGTAGAAAGAGAAGTAATATTAATAATGCAGAGTGCTAAAGGTTAACATACTCTCCAAAAAATATTTTACTCACTTTTTATTCAATTTTTAACTAATCAAAATGCAAAAATATATGAATCAACTTGTCAAAAACCTTTGTTATTCGTTTTTTGTCAATAACAAATACAGCAATGATTTTTTGTAACTAAAAAAATTGAAATTTCTTGCTTTCTATTTAATTTTCTTGATATACCATACATGTTTTGAAGTCTGTTCTTAATGATTATTTTGCTTTTCAGTTGGCCTGCCACCATAAACATTGTGATATTATTTCAGAACTGATTGTAAATGGATGTTGTGATCCTCATGTCAGATGCAATTTTACAGGATTTTATCCTCTTCATGAAGCTGCCAAGTTGGGCCATCATAAATGCATTAAGGCAAGAGCTTTTTTTATATTTTTTTTTATTTTTATTAACTGTATCTGAAAAAAATGTATCAAGCTTAAACAACTTAGTTTTTCGCTGTTTCACTTGGAATTTTCCTAACAAAGTTGATTTTCATTATCTGTGCTCATACATCCTCTATGGTAAAATGAATTCTGAAAGAAATAATATTTGCATTTTCTTGTTGCTTATAATTTTATATCTAGTACTAGTAGTAAAAAATATTCTGGTCAAGCAACCTACATAGATATGACAGAAATAAACAGACATCATATTTTACTCACACTGAAGCATTTAATATAGTTATGTTCTTTGACAAGTACTCAATTTATTATAAAATTGCAAGATAAATAGCAACACAAATACTTCACAATGCCTTCTGCTCCTGGAATATAGGAATGATCACCTTTTTAAGAGAGATATATTATTGGTTAATCTGTAAGTAGAATAAGGCAAGTTGTACCGAATGTGAGAATTTTATCTTTATCCAAAAACTGTTTATAAAATTCAGTAATGAAAAGAAGGAAGCTTTTGTCATATTCAGATTGACCAGTATCTTCATTCCATGAGTTATTATAGAAAAGCAGTCAGAAAAAAAAAACATTTCTTTAAAACCAGTCAATACTCAACAGAAAACAATCAGTTTGAAATGGTAATAGCAAAATTTCATACAGGGAACATTTCACATTCATTGATCAGTGTTACTGTTGGTTATAAAATCTTTTTATTAAAACAATTTTATGGAAACTTATATTTCTCAAGTCCACTAAATATTATAGTTCTTTCTAATATTGTTGGGAGTTTCTTTCCAAACTTTTTGGTTGTTCATTTTTGTGATTTTGTAGTGACAATCTCTAGAGCCTGATGAAGGATTGTCTTTAAAATTTATAGGATAATGGTCAGTTGAAATGGTGGCTAGAATCATCTTTTCAGATCAGTTTTTATTTGATCCATTTTTGAACATTAGATAAATTCAGATATGGAGATTACTTAACCAAGAAGTTCCATTTGAGCAACCTGCAGCTCACTATCAAACTTGGTAGATTTTCACTTACAATATTGAGAACAATTTGAAAAACTTATCCAAAGAGTACATGGAAAATATCAATTCTAAAAGGAACAGAAGGTTTTATTTTGATATTCACTGTTGTTAAAACAGCCATCTTTTGTATAACAGACAGAAATATATTCTATACAACCAAAAAAACTGGCAGATTCAATAAAATAGTAAGCTACTTTTATGCTTAAACCAATGTCCTGACATAATGAATTATATTAAAGATATCTCAATAATTTTTGCCGCATTGGAGAAAATATCTTTAAAAAAAACAAAAAAAAAAAACTGTTCTATAAATGGTTTGTTTTGAATGTAACCTGGTAGGTTTCCCACAAGATAGTAGCTTTAAAATTCAAATGAAATATTTAAACTCTGCTAATGCCAAGTCCACTAAATTTTAATTTGCTTAATCACAAATTGTTTAGATGGTTGAATAAAGAATGAGATTAAATTAAACATTCCTATTTATTTTTGTCATGGCTTTAGCTGAAAAAGATTCAACAGATACAAATGCACCAACAATTTTTTTTATGTGGAAACAACAACTCCATTTAAAATCATTTGTTTGAAGTTCAGATAAATATTCCGCTTTTTTTTTTTTTTATTTAATATATTCTCATTAATTTGATTTATTCATTAATGATGAATTTGTTGAAATATTTCTTATTTTATTTTGTATAAAGCAAATATGAAATGAGTGGGTCAGAAAATTCATGAAACTTTAAATATGATTATCCTTTGCAAAGAAAAGAGAATTACATTTTATTTTAACCTATACTCTAGCATTAGTTTAAACTGATGCATTTTGTTTTTCTATATATTGTAACCATCTTGATTAAAGTTTCTATTTTCATAATTTCAGATAGAAATTTGGATATTTTTCAATATATTTTGTTGAAATTTTCACTTTCCAGTAGTATAATTTATAATTATTGTTAAGATATAGTGGGGGGGGAGCATCGGGTTAAACTGATGCAAGAAAAATATAGGTTAAACATCCCTAGTAGAAGATATCGGAATATGTTGTGCTTTATTTTGAGAAGCAACAGCCTTTTACAATTAGGAAATTTATATTCAATAACCATTGTTGGAGTTTATTAAGTACCTTATTCAAACTTGAACAACTCAAAATAATTCCTGACTGCATGGATGACGAGAATGAAGAATTGCAATCTTCAAGAAGGCAGATAATTGTTCAGCTGACATCATGAATATTTTCTTTTTGTTTTTAGTTTCACATGTTATCTCATTATTTGTATCTTTTCATATTGTTCAGGTTCTGCTACAGAATTATTGTCCCCCTTTTCCAAGGACACTCACTGGAGAGACACCTTTAGATATAGCCTCTGAACGAAATCACACTAAATGTATCAAACTCTTAGGTAATCATTTTCTCACCTTTTTTTTTCCCCCCTTTTTTCTTTTCTTTTCTTTGGTCCTTGTGATTGGGTTCTTTGCTATGACTTCCATTTGACTTTTTACTGTATTTATTTTAACTTTTAAATGGCAGAGAATATCTTAGACAAATCTGACAGTTTTCACGCTTTTGTGATTATGTGATACTGAGATCACCAGAGGTTGAACAAAAAAAAGAGAAAGAAGAGGATAAAGTCTACTAACTGGATGGTAATTGTTGAAATTTGCAAGAAGGTGGATTGAAAAGTTGAAGAAAATTAAAAACGAAATGCACTGAAAATCATTTTGAAATAATTCCAAGGAGAATCAAACCCAAATTTAACTAAACAGAATTCAGTAAGATTGAGCAAAACCAAGACTACCTGTCCTTCCCTACTTCTTGCCAATGAGAAAGAGACCATTAGGGTATCCACAAAAATGTCAGATGAAGTAAAAACATGTTGTTGATGTTGCCAAAATAACATTTCTGATTCCTCTAAAAAGGCTAGGAAAAAAACATCTGTTTTGAATCAGCCACCCAGAAGAGAAGTGTCTTCACAGAGATAGCCTGACTTGGCATGTTTGTCATTATAATTTCTGTGACATTCATCCAGAGAAAAATTTCATATCCAAACATTCATTCCTGTCCCATTGGATACAAGTGATAAGGAAAAATTAATTACTATTTTGAAGTGACCATGGACAAGAAGGCTGTGTGTTTTGTTGATCATAAAAAAAGCATAGACAGAAAAGATAAATTTTTGTTTTTAAGTAGAGTGGAAATAATTTTTTCTTTTTTTTTCCTTTTCAATTTTTGAGTGATCTGATCAGTTGAGAAATCACATCATGGGACAGAGAAAGATTAATGACTGAAAATCCCGTTTGTTTTCACTATGCCTTCTAGAAGTCTGATTTGTCACACTAGGCCTAGGAGCAACTGATGTTAACTGCTGAGAAATTGGGAGAAGGAAGAGAGAGATTAGCACCACCTATATAGAGTAATGATGCAAGTTGAGACATCAAAGGAGTTTAAGGGGTGGCTTGATTTCTCTGCCCACTCTCAAAAGGGGGCTGGACAACCACAAATTTGGAAAACCACTTGAGTAAATGTATTTTTATATGTGAAAATTTAGAAAAGGTTAGAAGACAACCAATCTCAGACCCTAGTCAATCCCATTCCTGCCAGAGGCTGGGCTCCATATAAGCTGGAGGTTTAAACAACTTAGAGAGTCCCCACACTACTGCTACTGGAATCCACATTGTACACCAAAATGACTTGATCTCTTTGTGCTGGCCCCAAAGACCAGAACTTAGAAATTTAAGTTACTTTCTAAAGTTAGCACCAGACTCCAAAGAGGATCACAGTGTCATTTGATTATAACAAGTAGAAAGGCTTAAGACAACAAATTATATATAAACCAAATCATTGTTACATTTTTAACCAGAGTTAATTGTTTATTTCAAAAGATTCTTGTTTTTTGTGTAGCTCCAACTGTTGAACTGCCTTCATTTCAGTTTGCTTCTTCAGTGATCATCTCACCCTCCGAGATCAAAAGCAACGTGACAGAGGAGTGAATGGTCATGAACAAACAAACACCAGCTAAGTTGAGTGGAACCATGCCTTCCATCACGATACCTACAACAATGAATCGTGTGCTAACAACTGAAGAGTCAGCTAAACGGTAACCATGGTGGTCTGAAGGAACTTGATGACCAATGCAGGGCATAGGGCTACATTATTGGTGGCTGTTGATGAGGATAGTGTGACATTATTGGTTACCATTGACTAGATTCCCTGATGAGCGTTACAGTTGAATGACCGCAATTTCACCAAAAGAAAGAAATCTTAGCTACATGACCTGAGAAACTGAATTTTATTGACAATATTTCAATTCAGTTCAAATTATAAAGATGTATTTTTCAGTTATAGTGATATTCCTGAATGTTATATGTCCTTCAAAGTTCTATATGTATGTATTCTGAACTATTCTATATAACTGTCTATGTATATTGCATGATATTATAGCCAAAGATTCTACATTTTCACTTCTTGATATGCTAGTGAATATAAATGAGTTAATTTATAATTGTTACCAAAAAGAACAATTTTTCAAAAAAAAAATTTATAATTGTTTTTATCTAGAAAATTACACTCAACCAGCAACAAAGACAGATTCAAAATATTGGTTACATCCAGAGCTGCAACGGCAAGTAAGTGAACATTGGTTATCTCCCTTGTTGGTGTTTCCATATTGAATTTTTTAATGCTACCAATTTGTTCATAAGTACTGTTGCATCAATTCATGCAGTTTTGTTCAGTACATTACCTATTAACAAATAACAAAAATGGTAGTTACTATAAAGATCATAGAAGTATTTTTAAAGAATATCTATTTTTATCACAAAAAATACACTAAGGATATTAAAGTTTTAGTTTGTTTACTAATGCATTTGTCATTATTAGTTAAAAAGGTTTATCATTAAGAGCATAATTCTGTAACAGTGATAAATTTAACATTAAATAAAATTTGGTGTGATCAAAAGGTTTCTAATTCATGATTACTTGCTACAAGAGAGCATTTTAATAAAGGTACATTTTTTAAATCAGTTTCACTCAGTCACACTATAAATATATTTTACTGAAAACTTAAAAACTTAATTTGACTGATTACTTTCAATTGTTGATTTCTGTTTTTCTTTGTAGGGTGTTATAACTCTTTTGAAACGTCAAGGTCTTATTGAAGGAATGTTTCTTATCCGAAAGAATAAGTGGCATGAAGATTGGTTTGTCATTAGCATTTGCCACAACAGTCATATCTTTCACTATGCCATACAAAAATGTGTGAGTAAATCCTTTTGAAATTTACAAAGCAACAAACTTTGTATGATATAACAGAATCAGCTTGTTAGTGATTCAGACTTCATACTAGGATTATTGAGAGTGAAAGAAAAAAAAGTTTTTGTTTAAAGAGAACCATCTATCCCCATAGTTTAAATAAAGAGTTGAGTTCAGAATCTCCCTGTAGGTTACCAAGATTGATATACACCTGACGAAGGCCAAAGGGCACAACAGCTAAAATGTTGTAATAACAACAACAAAGATGTCAACAATAGTCATAATGTAAATAACAAATATTAGGACAATAGTCTGAATGTAAGTAGTGTAAAATGATTTATATTATGATTTTATATACCTAATTGTGTCAGCTTATTTCATAAAATTATAAGCAAATTCTTTCTAATTTCAGGAATATCGTAAAAAAGATGTTTATTTCATTGACAATGGTCCATATCTCAGCTCGCTAGAACATTTAGTTCATCATTACAACATTCGACCAGATGGCTTGCCTTGCAGACTGAAAATTGGCCTTGCAATTGGTGAGTCAATATTCATTTCTCTTCAAATATCTTTTGCTTTTCTGCAAATGTTTTATTCACCTACTTTAATTTTCAGTATCTATTATAAAAGCACAGAAGTAACAAGAAAAAGTTATACTCTACAAAAAAAAAAGACATTTGGAAAAGCAATTTTTGGATTCTACTTCTGTGGCTTCTGTCTTCAATGTCTGAAACTAATGCTATTGGCTTAAAAAAAAAAAACTCAATTAAAATTAATTTTGCCAGATGAATTCTATTTTTCAGCTATTAAGTTTTCAAGTTTATTAATTTATAGTTCAAGTGCTACCATATTTTCTTTTTTATAATGTGGGAAATTTTGAACAAAAACTAAAGGTAAAAAAGAGGCTTTGTATTATACATGAGTACAGGTTTCAGAAATTTTTACTCTGCTTAAAAATCCTCTTATTTGAAACAAGAGTGTAAATACACTCAGCACAATACTTAATGAAACGCAAAGTAGATGTTGATAATTGTTTACAAAAGGTATTTGATATGTTGGCTATATATGTTCTTTGGGAATTAGCATATTTAAATGTCTTTTGTCTCAGTCAGGAAATTCACCAAAATTGACTAAAAAAAAATAATAATGGAAATCTGTCATGTTTTGATAACATTAATGTTATAAAAAATCATCTTTTGAAAATAAGTTTTGAAAAGCAAATTAGAAGAAACATACAATGGCTAAACATCCAGATCATATTATACACATAGTACTTGTTCAAAAAGGAACTTTGTTTCTTGTTTTAAGTTAAGTTTAGCTTAGGCATCTCAAAGAACACATATGTCTGTCTCTCACTTTTTCTCTCTCTCTCTCACATTCACACACATTTTTTAATTTATTTGTTTAAATGCTATTTTTTAAATGAGTAGATGCTCTGTCTTTATTTATTAAACAGTATATTTATTTATTTCCATCTACCAGCCTGAATATTTGAGAAATCTTGTTAGAAAAATATGTGCCCTCCAGCAGGATTCAGACCTGCGTCCACTGGGGGAAACCATCCTTAGATCTGATGTGCCTTAGACAAACTCAGCCACATAGGACTTCTGATCAAGGCCCGAATAGTGCTTTTGAACAAACATCTTCCCAATTCTCAAAATATACATATATGCTCTGTTTTGCATTCTAACGTAAATAAAGATAATTTTTTTAGGAAATGGATTAAATCCAACATTCTTTTTTTTTTTTTTTTTTTTTTTTTTTGTTTAAACATTATTTGTGAAATGGATACTCATATTTGAGTAAAATTAAAAAAAAATCTGTTCTATTTCCCCTGCCCCTAAGGCTTGTGAAATTCGTTGCTTTCTGCACATTTCATCAAATTCCAGGCTGAAATATATGTCAGAAATTTAGTTCCAAAGAAACAATCATAATTAAATTGTCCTAAAACACTAGTTACTTATATTTTGAGATTTACACTAATCCACTATTACTAATACATTAGTTACTTATTTTCGAGATTTATTTTTATTAGAAAGAGAATATTTTCTAAATGTATAGACAATTTTGGCAAACTTAGATAAACATGCCCACAATAAGACATAATGTAAAAAGGATTGTTTTTGCCATGACACTGCCTTTTAATTTAACTCCCTTCACTCTTTGGCAATGTTTATTGTTTTAAAAAGTGATAATTAGAATTATATTGAAAGTGAATTTATACTTTTTTTTGTTCTTGAGAATTTACAACAAAATTTTAAACACTATTTATTAGATTGTTTATTTAAAAGAATAATTTTATTTTTACAACATTCTAAAAGCTAATAAAATTGTATTAAAACTAATGCAATGAAATATTTATCATTTGCCAATTTATAAAGATATAAATATGAAAACAATTTTTATTGATAAATTTATAAATATTTACTAAAATATTAAAATATATAAACCAACTATAAGTGTGACACTAGCAAATGGAAAGAAAGGGTTAAAAAACTAAAATATGGTTTGGAACAAGACAAGAAGGGTTAAGAATGATTTACAAACCGAGAGAAAGAAGGGAAATTTCTCTTTTTCAAAAGTTTAATTTTTTTTAAGGTAGAAAACAACTCAAAGAAAATTGGTTCTATTAGAAGATATTGCCACAAAACCATATGACAATATATAGCTGACAGCTGATTAATGATGCAGCTTAAAAAAGTACCAGTTATGAAAACACAAATCGAGAGATAAAATGTGGTGATCTCTGTAACCAAACCAAAGGAATAGTTTCTTTATGTAAGGACCCAAAACCTGGGGCACTTGGAGTGCAACAAGCCTGGCAGGATGTGGGTGAGGGGTGACTGACCAGAGGAAGCAGCTGGTTAATTTCTAATTTTAAACCACCATAAACCAACACTGCAATTGATGATGACAATCTGATCTTTGCCAGCTCTGTGATCAATCAACACAATGAGCAACAGTTTAGACCAGAGTGACCAACTTTATGGCTAGCAGCAGCATTTGATCAAACACCAACCAGCAGAAGAGTGTTATGTAAGGAAATCCTTATTATTTACCATTTTATAAAGTTTGAATCAATTGGCAATTAGCTAATGTTTTGCCAATCGTTCCAATAAAAATATAATAAATAAATAGTGTAAATAAACAATCTAATAAATAGTGTTTATTATTTTGTTGTTAATTCTCAATAACAAAGAAATGTATAAATTCAGTTTCATATGTTTAGGCTTTATTATAAAGCAATAAATATTACCAAAGAGTAAAATAAAAGCGGTGTCATGGGAAAAAAAACATTCTTTTGGCATGGGGGGGGGCATGAAGGTCGATGTTTGACTAGTTTTTTTTTTCTTCTATGCAGAGACTTTTTCTCAGGAAGTGTCCTCACCATTGTAAATGTCTTGAAATTTCCTAGAGATTGGTTCCTTTGCAGAGTGGAATAACTTTTATCAGGACAATAGTGAGCAAGTTCATCTTACATGGCAATATACTAGTTTTGAGTTCAAGCTTCAAGTGCTTTACTATTTCGGCCTTGTGCTAAGATAAACAGACAAAATAAATTTGGAAATGAATTTAGAATTTGTTGCATCAATTTTTGTTGCTTTTAATATGCTCATCATCAATTGCCATGCAAATTGGAAAAAAATGATTTTTTTTTTTTTTTTTTTATACAAACTAAAGTGACTTTTAAAAACATTTGATTTTCTTTCAGGGGAATCTCCTTATCCAATTCCACTTCTTAATTCCTTTGTTGCCAGTATAATCACTGATTTGCCAGGTAATTGTTTTATTTTTAATTGATGATCAGCATGGTAATCCAGTATCATTTAGGATAGAATTATGCTTTGTATGGTCATTTTCAGTTCATCCTTACTCAGTAATTTTGATTTGATCAACTTCAGTAGTACAAAATGAATTCATATGCTTTACATTTAAAACTTTTCTCACTCACAATATTTTTCCTTCATTTTTGTTAAGTTTTCTTACATTTGTTTTTTCTGCCAAAAAAAAAAAAAAGCCATGTTTCTCACTCTCTCATAGAGAAATCGGCAGGACATGCAAATTTAGATCTGGCCAATCTTAAGCATGTGTGTGTGTAAACTCCTACATTTGAGTGTTAAAGTGTTCTATTTGCTACTTGTGTCTGTCGATGTAACTATTGGATTTGCAACTTGCATAAATCCTTTGTTTACAAATGCAAATGATGTAGCAGTTCTTTAGCTATGGTAGAATGCAAAAATGATTAAAGTCTCAAAACCATGCCAGTAATAATGAATATTCAATGTTTACTTGCATCTGGTTTTAGATTCCAAAATTATTAGCAATCATAAATTTATTTCTGTTCTGCCTCCTCACCATATTAATTTGTAATTTATAATTTTTAAATGTTCATGTGACACTAATTCTAGAGGTAGACCAGGCCAGAGGTTAAACATATACCAGGCAATATTTGGAAAGAAAATTTGGATAATTTACATAGACGTGTCAATATATCTGCTATAGCTGAGTATTTGTTAAAAAACCATTAATGTGCTTGGTCCTATAACAAAGATGTTCTTGGAACTGAGGAAGGTTTACACTGATTTTCATCTAGTCTAGAGACATATATAACTAATTCATCCACAAAACAAATTTTTTACAGTGAACTAAAGAATATAAAACAAACACTTATTAATAATAGCTTTCCAAACTATATAGTTGATGAACAAATAAGATGCTTTCTTAGAAATCTCCATACTAAGCAAATAGAACATAATACTGCTTCAACTAATCCAAAACATCATAATCAAATGCATACTAATTATGAACAAGATGAAAATATACTAAAAAAAAAATTAGTAAATACTAATATATCTACAACAGATCCTAGCAAAAAAATTAAGTTAATCATATACTACACTAAATCTAGTATATCCAACTCAATTATTTGCAATGATTCTTCCCCACCACCTCCATTAGCAATTTGCAAAAAATAGTTTACAAATTCAAGTGCCCTCTGGGAGATTGTTGGTCACATCACAAACTCACTTTCACAATGCTTGACTCTACATTTGAATGATAATTCTAACATTTTTAGATATTTAAAACATGCCTGGCCCCGTACACAATTCTGGAAAATACTTGTTGAAAACACAACTATACTTAAACATGAAATCAATAAACAAAAACCAAAAATTCTGGAAGCTATATATATAAAACAGTTGAAACCTAACCTGAACAAAATAAACTATGAAAACTCCACAAATATACTTAAATGCCTATAACTGATAATACTTAACACTTCTCGTTTTCACTCTCACATGGTCATGTGTGATGTCATGGACCATGGTGCGATTTTTGCTTCCAGCGTCTCGCATGCACAAGTTTGTTGTTACTACAAAAATTTCCATGCATACAAAACAGACTATCATTGTTGCTATGTCCGTGTATTGTTTAATTTATTATAATGTAATTGTCATCTTTGATGGTAGCTTATGTAAGCCGAAAGCTTAGATAGGATTAAAAAACATGTATCAATATGGTGATATTCTTTTGTCTTTCAATGATGATGTTATTAAGCTTATCAGATGATATGAAAGGAATTTGCTTAAAATAAATAGACAATATTATTTAATATATGAAACATGAATCAATGAAAAAATTCTGCCTAAATACACACAGTATATATATATATATATATAAGTGAACATTGAAGTCAACACTCAGCGGCAACAGGCTGTTTCATGCTAGATGCAATTGTCAGGCTGCGAGTGTTGGATTTTTTCTCGACTTTTTATATATATGGGTCGGAGGTGCATTGTAGGCAATCCATTCTGGCAGTTATTTTGGTGGAAGTGGCTTGTTTATTTACTTATTTATTTATTTGGGTTAATTTATTTTACTTGTTTTTATTTTCCTTTTTTATTTTATATATTATTTTTTTCGGTTATTATGTTTTATTAACGTAGTAAGAAAATTTTGGTGGGATTTGCTTAGGTTACTTATTTAATAGTTTGTTTTGGTCTGGGAAGATAAAGCTATTTAATTGTATAATTTTTGGATTGATTGCTGTAATCTATTCTGCTATTTTGGCGGGGGATAGTTTTTTAATTTGTTTATTATTTTGATTATTTTTACGTGTTTTTGCTTATATCATCTGCCATATCATCAATTCAAATGTATTTAAGTTGTGACAATGTTTTACATCCCCATTAGATTAATGTTTATTCTAATTTTGACTTTTCAATTAAAACAAAATAAATAATAAAATATATGTATTTTTTCCATAGTTTCTTCTTTAAATAATTTTATAATATTTAAAACCTAATACAGGCTAAATTTAAAATTGGTAATTTTTAATTTTCAATTTTCTAGTAAAATTTAATATTAACCTGAATGATTTCTATTTTATTCTAAACCTAACATTAAAGCATTAATTATAACCAAGGTTCATTGTCAGGTTTTTTGAATTTTCATATACTTGTATTTTGATTGGTCATTGTAGATTATGGAACACCGTTTCCTCTAGCGAAGGTTGTTTGGTTGATTTGAACCTTTTAAAACTCTTTATTCTACATTCAACACCATCACATGATAAGACACCAGAAGTTGCTTGTTTTTAATATTTTTCATTTGTTCTTTAATTAAACAAATCTCTTTAAAATATTTATGTACCTGATTGTTCTTTAGTTAAAACAAAACATTTTAAACAATATTTTTCAATTCTAACAATTGTCGCGGCCTAAGGAAGGTCTAAAGAATGCTAATCTGCAAAAAATATTATCTACCCACAAGAATTATTCCTATTTTTTTTATGAGTGAACCATTTAAGTATAAATAATAGAACCTACTTAATATATATAATATTCTGTCTTTAATGTTTCCTATTTTATTTACTGTGACCATTTTTCAGTTCTTCAGTGCCTAATGAAAAATGATTAGGTTTTCACTGGGTTTTTTTTTTTTGTTTTGTTCCAAAACCCCCCATCATTTTTGTTTTTCAATTTCTCTCTTTACAGTAACTATAATTTATTTATTTTCTTTTTTTATCTGAATTTCTGGGATGAGTTATAATTATTTACACTATTTATATTTGGACTATTGTCCTCATCTTTGTTGTTTTTGCCCTGTTTCGGCCATTGTGCCCTCAGGCTTTCTTCAGGTGTATATCAATCTTGGTAACCTACAGGGAATTCCAAAACTGATCCCTTTAATCTACTTTAAACCATTCTTGTTCCAATAGGGATATCATCTAGTTTTTATTTTATTTAGCATTGTTCAGTTATTGCTCCTCCATTTCCACTGAGGGCAAGTAATGCAAGTGCACATTGCCTGACCCAGGGATTGAACTCACAATTATGTCACCATATTCACAAACCAATACTTTTACTAGGCCACTGACCCATAGGACAATTGCTGGAGTAAACTTAAACATTTAAACCTAACTTTCACTGCTGATTAGGCTGCTGCTGCTTCACATGTTTTAATTACTGATACTGCAGTTGAAGACCTGCTGTCATTTGTCTTTTTTCTTTATTAATGGCTCCCATATTGGATTTATTTCTATGCTAGGCCTACTAAGGAGATCCTCATAACCTAGAGTATGTGCTGATTATTTCAGTCTGAAAGAATCATCACATATGCTAGGCTATGAATAACAGTACTAAATAGAAGAATTATACATTGTTCCTAGACATGTGCAGTGGAATGAGAATAGTCTACCCTGTAGACTAAATAAAGGGTTCAGTTCAGAATTCCCTGTAAGTTACTCAGACACCTGAGGATGGTTGGAAGGCACAATGGCCAAAACATTATGATAAAACCAACAAAAATGAGTACAATAGTCTGAATATAAATAGTGTAAATCATTTTTTTTTTTTGTCTACTGATATTTGATTTTAATGTCCACTTTTATTGCAATTAATAATGTACCTCTCTTAAAATATATATCTTCCTTGCAGAATCTCCCAGGTCCCCTGCTCCTGCTATAAATTTCCCAAATGCTGTGAAGATCTCAGCTCCCACAAGAACTCCCCCACCAGTGCCAAGTCTAGTAAGCTTTCTTCTGAAGTCTTTGTTTTATCTTTTTAATCACAATTCTCTTTTCCAGAATATCACTTACTCAATGGTTAACAGCAAAAATGTGACTGAAGGATTTTGAATGTTGCTCCTTTCATTAAAGGAATTTCATCACTTTCAGAAAAAATCAAATGTTTTAAAGCTTGTATCTGTCATAAAGTATTTTCTGCAAGGGCATAGGCACTAAGATTCATGCAATCATACAAATTACAAGGTTTAAGAAAAAGAAAATTTAATAAAACAAACACCATATTTATCTGCTTTTCAATCAAGCTGCAGAGTTTATTGAATAATATAATAGCATTCTTTTAAATGTTGCTTAATTTGGCATGAGGCCAATTTTAAGTAATCTTGAATATTTTAAATAACAATCCAACTGATGTTTACTATATTTTAGAAATAATGACAACCAACCAACCATTTGTGTTTCTATTTACATTTTATTTTTTAGCTGAAATTACAAAGTCGTAACAGAATTGTCACTCGGGCGGATACTTCTCTGATCACTAGAATATTAACCTCTTTAAGTCTAGGGTCAACTGATATCTATCCGACATTCTCGTAATATGTACTTCATGATTTTCCTTCTTACAACTATCTCACTTACAACCATCTCACTCAGTAACCCTCTACCTTGAGTGGCCCTTGAGCCTTATATTTGTTTTTCACTATAACATCTTATACTATGACAAAACAAAGCTAACCATTTTAATTTTGGATTTTCAACTGCTAACAAATAATAGGAATAAATATGAAACAATATATTTCTAAAATAATACTTGCTCTGTTGATCATAGATGCAAAATTTTTTATTTTTTTTTAAATTTCAGAAAAAAAACAACTATGTAATTTCCATGTATGTTAAACTAAGTACTTTTTATCATTTCCTGGAAACTATTCAGATAATATCCATTCTTTAGTTCCACCGGCTCAGATCTTTGCAACTAAGACCTGACATGTCTTCATAGAATCTAATCATCCTCATTTCACCTGTATTGCATTCAATTGTAAGGAGGAAATTCCACTTGGACTCTTTTTTTCTCAAAGAAATGCTTCTTTATGGAATAGATTTCCTTGGACACGTTCATCTTAATATCTTTAAGTCAATCATTATCTAGCCTCCATATCCTCATAATCTTCACTTTTTGATTCCTACTCTTACATTAATACCACACATCCATTACACTGAATGGCTCTTGGGCTTTGTATTAGGTGAACTTTATTTTTTTTAAAAAGTGTATACTGAAAATAGAAAGCTTTATAGTTGAAACATTGATCATCATTTGTCTCCTTTGATTTCAACCTACTCACACACATCTCCCAAGCGTGCTTTGAATTAGGAGAGGCAATCCTTAGCTTAAATCCTGCTTTGTTATGAAATTAAGCACTTTTAAGAAATGATTTCTTAATGTTTCTCTGACAAACAAATATAATCATCATTTGAAAAGATTTTAATGAATGAGAACTTTATCCAAAAAAATATAATGGTAATATAAGAAATTTATGTCATGTTCTCATTAATTTTAAATTTCTTATATTCTTTTCCAGCCATCTCCTCAGCCAAGTGTGCCTGCAGTTGATGAAGGACATTCGTTTATTTCAATTGACAGAATAAAACTGGGTGCGTATTAGCATACTATACTGGAACACACCTATTCTATAGTTAATAGACTCTCCCACCTATAATAAGTAGTAGCAGTCGTGAAGTCGCTCAGTGAGTTGATGTTAGTTGGATATTAAAGTATCAGCCGCCACAACTAGATTGCTGCATCATTAACTATTATATCAAGTTCCTAACATTTTGTACGTCGAACCTTTTTAGGACCGACTTAGTGAAATACAAGCCTCCACTGTGAAACTACTCTATAAAACATAAAAACTGCTAATGTTGAGTGTGTTGTGGGTGTTCTGGTGATGTATTGGCCTTGTCTGAATGTAATGTTTCTATGTATTTTGGAGGGGTTAAAAGGGCACCATCAGCCCACAACGGGATTATAAAATTACAAAATAAAATTATATCTAATATACAATAAATAAAAAATAAACAAATAAAAATGATAAAATGCTTTGGTATACATTTCAGAGAAATGATTATATAATTTAAAGAACATACAGAAATAAAGAAGTTTTGCTTATCTGTTGGTGGCAACATGTTTCATCCAGGGCGTCTGCCTCCTACAGCTATCAAAAAACAAAGGGAAAGTTTTGATTTTTGTTTCATTCAACAGTAAAACTTTTGTTCTGATGCATCTTGGGAATATTCTATATTTATTTAACTAATTCTTTTACCTAACTTTTTCTTTCTTTATAGTTAACTACCACTGTCATCTGTATTTTAAAGTATTTTTATTGCTTAACTTTTAATTTTTCTTTTATTCCAGATTACTACATAGTCTAGTCATAAGGTTATTTAGTAATTTATTTGTTCCTATCATGACTGGCAAATTGAAACATTTAAGAGATTTTATTCTTTTAAACTAGCATTTTGTAAAATAGCACACAATGACAATGTAAACTAAATCTCCTAATTCTCCCTCTCTCATATATATATATATATATATATATATATATATATATATATATATATATATATGATAATAGCCTCTCTCATCGTTTTTTAAAGTCACTTTCTCACCGATGTGATATGGCTTCCCTCTGTCTTTTCTACAAATATTTTCATGGCAACTGTTCTGACAAGCTTTTTTCCTTGGTGACCCTATACATGAATTTAAGCATGCTACTAGATTGGCATCTAGGTCCCACCCTTTTACTAATTAGGTAAATGTAACCACCACTTCTACTCCAACAGTTTAATTTCTTGCACTTCCTGCCTATGGAACTGAAGTCTCTAAAGAGTGAATGCAATTCTGTAAACCTAAATTTTTCATTTATTTATTTGTTTTATTCATTTGACTGCAGTACAAAATTTTGAAATTTAATCCATAAGGATTAAATCTGCAGCACAAAAGTAAAACAAATCTCTTTGTGAATTAATTTCAGTATCAGTTTCCTATGTGATTACTGACTGGTCTTATTCAAGGTACATTTGCTTATTGTAGTAGGATCTTTCATGTCAACCACTACCTTGACCTCATTAGCAACATCCACAGTTTATTTATTCTGGTCTTCAAACAATTTCCTGATAAAACAAATAAACTTTGGTGTCAGCTTGCATGATCGACCTGTTCACTTCAGTACATCTCTGAGAATTCCAGTTGTGATTCTGCACAATTTAGGAAGCAATGATTTTGCTTCTTAATTTAAATCTGGTAGCATTTTTTTATTGTTCTATTCTTCGAAAGAAATAGCATGTTATTTCAAATTAGCAGTTTTTTTCCATTTAGAGCAGTTAGCGCACTTAAAGTCTGTACACTGAAAACAAAGGCTTACTTTTAACTTTGCATATATCAAAATCCCCCCTTTTAGAAAAAAAACCAAAACAATCAGTAATAGATTAAAAATATACCTACTATATAAAATAAATAATTGTTTTTCATAAAGCTCTTCTCATTTTTACATGACAAAATATATATATATATATATATATATATATAACTATAAAAAAATCAGGTCAGTTGAATCCACTACCTTACGAATACCTTAAGGTTGAAACCAAGGCAGCAGATTCAACTGACTTTCTGATTTTTATAGTTAAAAGCTCTACATGTTATTTTTACTTTTATTTTATTTTTTCGCATGTGTATTGAGCACTTTTTAATACTACTGTTTCCTCGTCTGATTCAACTCTTGACCATTAACCTTTCTTGTGTTTCTCTTTGCCTCGTTAGCCAAACTTTCCCTGACGATCCGTTTAGGTGAAACCTAGGTAGGTTTGTCTGGCTCACTAGGTGTATCTATATATATATATATATATATATATAGTTTATGCAAATTTAGGTAATCCGTATGAGTAGACCTGAGGAGGATGATATCCAGAGAGCTCAATGTAAAATTCAGAGCAGATATGTTTGAATAAAAGACAGACCACGTTAAGATTCCATGTAATAAGCTATTTCACCATAACCCCTTTAACAGGGTTCTGAATCATCAGACTTTACTTCCAAAAGCTGAAATGAAAAATGAAAAGAAATTCACACGTTTTTTACGGACCTCATCAAGTATACGCAAAGTTAGGTACTTATGTTTTGCCATAAATATAAAAGATCGGGTAATATTATATGTGTAAAGATATAGATAATGTAATTAAATACTGAGATAGTCTTCGAACGCAGGCATAAGTGGATGCACGGGTGGACATGAGGATAGGGACAAATACGTGGGTAGATATATGTATGTAGATATTCTGCATATTGCGTATACATATGTGTGTGTATGTATATGTATGTATGTATGCATATATGGGTGTGTGTATGTATGTGTATATGTGTATACGTATGGATGTGTAAATATATATATGTGCGTATGAATATATATGGATATGCAGATGTCCTTGTGTGTATATGTATATATGTAAGTATAAGTATATATGGAGATAGGTATGGAGACATGTGGATGTGCGTTTTCTCTGCAGGTGTATATGTGTAAAGATGGAAATATACATATATCGTTTCGTGTGAATGTGTGTGTAGGTGTATATAGGAACTCATAGGCATATAAGAAGATATAGGTATGTGGTTACAAATAGGGGTTTAAGACATGTGTAGATAAGAAATTGTAAAAGAAGGGCCTAATTTTCTGCTAGTGACATCTCTTCCAAATTTCTCCTCTAATATTCTCCAATTGGAAGTGAACTTTAAATAGCACGAAGGGAAAGTTTAGATTGGTATTTTAATTGAGATTGAAAGATACTACCCCAGTGTGGAGAATAAAATTATTTAAATGGGAATAACTGTTGATAATTGGGTACATAAAAACAACCACGAGTTTACTTAATGAACAAAAATCAAACGAATAAATGTCAACCTAACAAGCTATAAGATAAAAGTTTTAGTGGAAAAAAAAAAAAAATTACTAAATATAAATTGGATTGCTCTTTCAATGTTCTGTCTATGGATTTTTCCAATCGACTGTTTCATAGAAAATACCCAAAACTCCACCGAATTTCAAATTAATTTCTTCGTAGATTGTTTTAAAATTTAGATATTTATCAAACCTTAACCTCCCAAATATGCACGTTAAAGTAACGCGAACTGACAGCATCTAAGAATTTGAATGAAACCTGTTGTGTAATTTATTGGGGTTGTTGTAACGTCTTCCTTTAATGTAGTTCTTATCGTTCACCCCTTAGCCACCTTTATCTAGAGACGAGACGCGTTAAATTTGAGCAACATCCAGCCGACACACTCGGGTTAAAATAGGAAACTAAAATGATACATATGACACACTCATATCCTCTCTCCCACCTCACTTCGTTAACTTTGCGTATACTTGATGAGGTCCGTAAAAAACGTGTGAATTTCCTTTCATTTTTCATTTCAGCTTTTGGAAGTAAAGTCTGATGATCCAGAACCCTGTTAAAGGGGTTATGGTGAAATAGCTTATTACATGGAATCTTAACGTCTTAACGTGGTCTGTCTTTTATTCAAACAAATATATATATATATATATATATATAGATAGATAATATTAGTGGAAAATATACATACATATGCAAAATATATATAAAAAATATATAAAAATACCCATACATGTATATTTTCAGAAAAAAAAAAATTTCCAAGAGGAAGAATCCAGGTAGAACTCAATGTCTAGGACAGAGTAAGGATATAATAAAAAGGCTTAAACACTAATATTCCATGGTCATAATTTATTCCATTGGAATCGTAAATATGATCCAAATCATCAGACCTACAAATTCAAAATGAAAACAGAAAAAACAACTCCGGAAATCAAAACAGAATTTAGAGAAAGTGTAAGTATGAGGAGGAGGGAGATGAAACCTTAACAGAGAGAATTTTAGGAGATGTGGGGGGGTTAAAAGAGGAGAGAAAGAAAGTCGATAGATGTCTAATGCATAAAGATACATTTATATATATATATTTCTTACAGCATGGAACTTATTTCAGAAAATTAATGTTTGGTTTTAAAATTGTTCTATCTGCTGAATGAAAGTTTTTTATAAATTTATTGAAGAAAATCAGTTTTACATGTATGTTCTTTGCCTAGGAGAAAGTAATTGTGTCTAAAGTACTTTGCAAATAAATGAATAAACCTCAACAATTGAGTTTACATTATGTAACTTTGTCAAAATGACTTGTTTGAGGAAAATGGAGGCAGTTTGCAACCTGTTGGTTCCCTGTAATGGCTTCAAATATTTTTAAAATATTTATTACAGGTAGTTTTTTTCCCATGTTTTTTCCTCCTTTTTTCATATAGTCTTTTTTCCTTGCAATTTGAGTTTTTTAAAAAAAAAAAAAATATATAGATTGAAATTTTTTTGTTCTTTTAGGAGGTTTGGTAGGTGAAGGAGAATTTGGAAAAATCTTAAAAGGAACTTTAACAGTTACTGAAGGCAAAAAAAACAAAAAGGTAATTTGAATTTATTATTATTATTTTTCATGAAGTAATTCTTTCACACAAAATTATTTTGTGGCAGTTTGTTCAAGTGTGTTTACCCATGAAAGATATAACCAATAATACGCCCTCCTACTTTTGTGAATAAAAAAAAAAATAAAATTAGCAAAATCTGTCTTATACCTTATAATTTGGTAACTTAGAAAGATAATATAACAGAAATATAATTTTCTGGTATATCAACTTCTATATTATAATAAAGGATTAGCAATCTGGTAGCAGAGCATAGTTCAGATTTCCAGACATTTGGTTTATGGGCCGTGAATGCTTCCACTGCACCACTCTGCTACCAGTTTGTTAAATCTCTATTTCTCTTTTCAAGACCAGTGGCTCAACCACTGTCATTTGCATGCTTTTGCCACTACTACTAATGATAACTGAACATCATCATGAATGGTAGCAACTTTATAGTCAAACAATGGCTCGCCCCCGCCCTTTTTTTTTTTTTTTTTTTTTGATAGTCTTATATATTTCTAAAATATTGACTAGTAATTTCAGAGTTTTTTCCCTTTTGCTTGAAGGTAATTTAAAACACTTCAGTTCTTTTGGTATTTCTCATACCAATACTTTACTTTTTTCAACACTGCTTTTTAAAAATTCTGCTGACCAGAGTCTCTCCACAATGTATAAGTTTAAAATATTTCATACTGTTTACGTTATTTATACTCAGATAATAATAAACCTTTTTAACTGATAAGTAATGACAAATGCATAGGTAAGCATACCAATATTTTTAATTTTCTTTCTTTGTACATTTCTGGGATGAAGACTTAGTGGATTAAAATATTGCTTTGGGAATTTGATGACATAGTAATTGTGAGTTCAATCTCTAGTCCAAGTAGTTCATATTTAGAAACAGTGAACAGTAACCACACTAAATAAGACACAAGACAAGATATCCTTAGAGATGGACAACAATCTATCTTAGTCGATTAAGACCAGAGAGAACAACAGCTAGAATGTTGCAATAACAACAACAAAGACAAGGAGGATAGTCTGAGTGTAAATAATAATAATTCCTCATCCCAGAAATTCAGACTGAAGGCATTCAGGTGATAACAACAACAAAAGGGAGGATAACAGTCCAAGTGTAAATAATGTTAATAATGATAACTTGTGATCCCATAAATTCAATTAGAAATTATTTCCTTCTATTTGATGCAGTCAACATTTATATAATCAATGCTTAATCTATGAAATGTGTAAATAAATAAGTAGGATAAATGAACAAATAATAATTGAACTGTTGATATGCAACTTTTAACATGTATTATTTACTGCAATCATTTATCAATTCTTACAATAAAAGATAAGAAAAATTAGTCAACTTTTACTCTGAAATTTGACAAATTGTTGCATTTGCCTCTTTGAGAATTTTATTTATCATTTTGCTAAGCTTTAGAATTTTATTTATAAAAAAACAGTTATTTTATATTAATTTATCTTTCAGACATTAGTTTGATATTGCTAGCTATTTTTTATTAAATTTGAAAAATTTTCAGCTTTCCTCCAAGAAGTATTCAAACATTTTAAGTTAACCATTATAAATGGACTATAATTTTAAAATCTCTTTATACTTATTGAATTGCCAGATACCATTTTGCAATTTTTGTAGTAGCTTCTTCACATAAGAACTTCTCTGTTCTGAATGACCATTTTATAGAACTTTACTCTAAAACATTTATTCTAAGAGTTGAAAATCATATTTTTGTATAAGAAAATTATTTAGGAAAAATTTACGAAACAAATTTAAATCGGAGTAATGTCGTTAATTTGAAATATTTTTATTTTCCATTCTAACAATTGCATTTCTACTTATTTCAGATTACAGTTGCACTGAAATATTTTACAGAAGATATAGTGAACTGTCATGCAGATTTTTATCGAGAGGCAAAGATAATGTTGGACTTGAATCATGTTTGCATTACTAAGCTGATAGGCATTTGTAAAAATCCATTGATGCTGGTAGGGTAAAAACTAATACAGATTTTGTGTATTTGATTTCTTTCCATGACTATCCACAATTTGCTAACATTCTCTCATAGAATTGTTATTTAGTGCATGAAATATGTAATTGTCAGATTAGAAGTAGTCAAACGTGTTCTTTCATCTGTATTTGATATGAAACTAATAAACTATTGAACTACACTTAACACAGTTTCTCCTCAGACTTTAAGAGAATCTAAAAAGGAAAATATTTTCATTTTTGCTTAGAAGTGTAGATAAAATGAAAAGATAAAGAACACAAATGATGCAATTCAAATAAGTGTTTCTCTTAATTTCTATTATTGTCTCTCCAATTCTGTATATTTTGATTAAGTTTTCTATAAGAATTGTCATGTTGTTTTATAGATTTTATGTATTTAATAATTCTTTCTTTTTTCTACATGTATGTTTCCTATTTGATCTTTCAATTCAGATATTGTTGCAACTAGTATTACAGTCATAGCTGTTTATGAATAATGTGTTTAAGCAATACAAACCAGAAGTAGTAATTTGCTTATCTTTGAAAGAAGGTTTTAATTTAATATTTATAAAACAGGATCTCTTTCAGCCACAGAGTTTGCACTTTTATGAAACCCCTATTTTGGCACTTGAAGAAAATTAGATAAACATCACCTCAATAATATATATATATATATATATACACTTTGTTTTAAGATATTACATCAGAAACATGTGAATAATGCTACACAACTGCAATCATGTTTCAATGTGTATTAACACATCTCATCAGACATTAGTAAATGACTGGTTAGTAGACAATTTATAGAGATTTAAAACCACATACAACCACTTTTCATGTGGAAAAAACGTAAAAGTAAGAATGGAAGACACAAGATACACTCTATTTTCACAAGAAAAGGAAGAATAAGGGAAAAGAGTAGGAAAGAGGGAGGGGATAGCACCAGAATTTGTTTTGTTTATAATTAGATCAACCAATGAAAATGGCCTAAAAATGCATGTTTAAGATTTTGAAAGCCTATGTTAGTTTCATATTTTTGGGATGTATAGCTTCTGGATTTGGGAACACTACACAGATGGATTTCTAGTGACTTAATGTTAAAAAATTCAATGCTTTTCTTTTTATAGGTGGAAGAATTTATTAGCAAGGGATCCATGTTGGATTTCTTGATTGATTATCCTTCAAAGATTGATGTCAACACGGACCTGATCTTGTGGGCTTCACAGATCGTTGCAGGAATGCTGTACTTGGAATCCAGGAAAATGGTACATAGAGATTTAGCAGCAAGAAATATTTTGTTAGAATCTAAAAAACAGGTAAATCATTTTAGAGTTTTAACTAAATTTTATAGCTTTGAGTTTTCACATTTTTAGAGATGTTTATTTATATAAAATTTGAGAAAGTAATTATTTTATGCTTATTAGGTTGGTCTTTTTGTAAATATTAAAATTCCCTGTTTTGATCATTTTATATGACGGCAAATAATTTGCTATGTGCATTGTATTTCCTGAATAAATGACAAAAGAGCCTCTCCAAAATGGACAGATCTATTTACAGCTGAACTCAATTTTGGAGTTAAAGTAACTGTTACCTAATCCTTTGTTATTACTGTGAGGCCTTGTCACAGCATTAGTAGCGTGGGGTTTTCAAACACTTCTATTTGAAATATTAGGTTTAGTCTGAAATAATTTCCATTTTTGTGTGTCAACTTTATTTATGGTCAGAAGGTGATCATTCTAACCACTTGGTTACACATTGATATAGCCACATAGGCAATACTTTATCTTTTGTTTGTATATGTGAATATGACTCTTGATATCAATACTTGTGGGTACTACTAAGCTTTTATATTTTACTTTTTTTTTTTTTTTTTTTACTATTGTTCACTCATTTAAAAGGCCTAAGTTCCACTCAAGATAGAGGGTTACTCAATGGGGATGTTGTAAGTGCAAGGGTCACATATAATGAGGACTTGTAGAACAGGTGAAGGTTGACACTTGACTTGAAGAGGCCAAGATTGTGGTGATCAAGGAACCGTGCCTACAGAAGTGCATTCCACATTGCTACAGTTTTAAAGGAGAACTTCTTCCTTACCAATGAAATATGAAACAATTGAGGATGAGTAAATTTGGTGTATGCAACATGGTGAGTCCTAGCTGTGAAGGTCTGAACTAGTGGAATGGATGAATATACTTTGAACATCTGCTATGAAAATAACTGTAAAGTAGCAAAAGGCTAGCAATGTTTCATTTATAGGAAAGCATGGAAAAACAATTCATGATCTGCAAGGCTGCACAAAAACTTTTGAATTTTGTTGAAGTTAGGAAGTAAGGATTAGACATCTCTGGTCCAGATGTGTCTGCAGCTGAATAATAGTTTTATTTCCTTTCTTCATTAAATATTTCAATAGGTTAAATTAAATACCTCAGTTTATCATTGTCAAAATTGTTTATCTTTTCTGTTATATCTCATGCAAGATATAATAAACAAAGTAAACCCGAGTGTTGGTTTTTCAATAATAATTTTATAATCGGATGTAGGTATGTCAAAATACAGAGAGAGTCAGGAGTAAGCTAACCTCAATAGGTGTTAACAAACGAAGACCTTTTTGTTACTGTTCGCTGTGGTCGAACTTTATCGGCAACCAGTCCGTCCATTATCGTGAATGGGGAAGTTGGGTTATCTCATCACAACATTTTCTAAAACAATATCTAGATACAAAGCTAATTTCTGTGAAATTTGATTTTATAGTTTTATTCCTGGTTTAGCCATATACAAAGCCTTATAATTCTGTTCTATTGTTCCTTTACGAATTAAAAACTTTCCCCTCATTATCGTGAATGGGGAAGTTGGGTTATCTCATCACAACACCTCCCCGCGAAGCTGAAATTCTCCCTTTTGAAAATTTCTGCTTCTAATGTCGTCTTCTTTTTGGATCCGGACTAAAACGCTCCACTGGTTTTCTTTCCCGTGTGCTCCTTCTTTTAGTTGTCACAATTAGATCTTTTTTTGGCGAAGATAATTTCCGCTTTTCAGTCCGTAAGGCTGGTCCATGAGATACCGGTTCAAATACACTATTGAGTAGTGTCATGTTAAAAGCATCGCATAACACTTTCATCGGAATTTCTTCTTCGCTTTTTTCACTTTCTTCACCATATTGTGGTCTAATCTGATTGATGTGTCTTTTACACATAAATTTTTTACTTTTAATCGTGTAGACCACTTTACCAATCCTTTTCTGGATTATGCCATCCATCCAATAGTTTTTTCCACTTTTAAAATTTAAAAAAAAAACTTTGTCTCCTGAAGTGTATTTTTTTATGTTGACTTTTTCCTCTTTCTTAGCAACTTTTTTATTTTGATAGGGTAACAATCTATCGAAAATTGATCTAGTTTTCCTTGCGAACATAATTTCCGCCGGTGACATTTTCGCATCGTTGTTCTCATTAGGAGTTACCCTATAGATTGCTAAGAACTTCTGAATAGTTCTTTCTTCCGTGTCCATACCTTTATTTTTACATAAAGCACGTTTAAAAGTGTCAACAAATTTCTCGGCTTGACCGTTCGACCTGGGATGACACACTGGTGTAGTTATGTGTTCAATGTCTAAGGCAGTACAGAAATCCTTAAACTCCATACTTGTGAACACCGTACCGTTGTCGCTAACCAATGTCCTGGAAACCCCGAAATGACTGAAAATTTCATCCAATGCACTGATGGTGTTCCTAGATGTAGGATGCTTGCACTTGACTACCTCAGGCCATTTCGATAAAGAGTCCACCAATATCGAATAATAGTGCCCATTAATTGGTCCAGCATAGTCTATATGTAGACGTGCCCACGGCAAATCCGTTTTCGGCCAAGGATTCATTTTGACCGGAGGTGCCCTTGCAGCCAATTGACAACCTCTACATAGTCTTACAAAACCTTCAATATCCTTGTCCATTCCTGGCCAGTATACGTAACCACGCATGAGTGATTTCATCTGAGACATTCCAGGATGACTGGTATGAAATTCTTTCAGCATATCTGCACATAGAGATTGAGGTATAACAATTCTATCTGCGTGTGACATCAACGTGTTGTCGCAAAATTGAAAAAGGTGAAATCTGAGTTCCCTTTTTCTGTCTTTTTGTTCCATCTCGTCTGGTTCCTTAATTTCACAATATAGTGATCTTTTTCCGCTTCTTTTTTTATTTGGTCCTAAGTTACCGGCAATTCCCTGATTGTATTCAACAAGAGACCTGATATTTCTTTTTCCTCAGTTAATGCTGCTATAACCGTCTCTTCTAACATTTCTTCATTTTTGGAATCAGCCTTGACAATCCATCCGCATGCCCATGTTCTTTAGATTTGACGTATTCCATCCTAAAATGGTAATTAAGCAGGGTTACACCCCATCGCCGTAAGCGATTAGCTGTATGCATAGGAATGCCTTTTTTACCTCAAATATTGTAAGTAACGGTTTATGGTCCGTTTGAAGTACAAATGATCTACCATGTAAAAAGCGATGGTATTTTTTAACCCGAACAGAATTGACAAAGCCTCTTTCTCGATCTGGCTATAATTTTTTCAGCGGAAGAAGAGTCCTCGACAAAATGCGTGATCGGTTTAGTAGTGCCATCTTCATATTTGTGTAGCAGTGCAGCACCCACCCGCACAAACTTGCATCCATTGCCAGAATGATCTCTTTCTCAGGATCATAATGTGCTAAGGCGAGATCTGAGAGTAGGCATTTTTTTATTTTTTCTGAAAAGCCGTCTCGCAATCTTTTAACAAAACCATTTCTTGTCTTTTTTTTCAACAATTCGTTAAGGGGGCTCTTAAATCATACATTTTAGGTATGTAGATTGCATAATATTGTGCCAACCCCAGAAACGATTGTAGTTTATAACTGTCTCGGGTGCAGGCATGTTCTTAATTACATCGGCTCTCTGTGGGTCCGGTTTCCTGCCTTCACTGTCTATTACCTGTCCGAGGTATGTAATTCTTTCCATGAAGAATTTACACTTCTCGTGGCTTAATTTAAAACCAAAATCTTCTAGTCTTTTGAATATCGCTCTGATGTGCGTTTTATGTTCTTGAACATTCTTACTTTTGACTAGAATGTCATCTAAATAGGCGGTACCAAACTCAAGGCCTGCCAGCATAGTGTCCATCACCTGTTGAAACAAAGCTGGGGCGACCTTTAAGCCAAAAAAGCCTATTTAGCTTATAAATACCTTTTATGTGTATTTATACACAAATATTTTGAGCATTCGTCACTCACTTTAATCTGCAAGTATCGTCAGACAGGTCGATTTTTGAAAAAATCTTCCCACCATTCAATTTTGAAAAAATATCTTCTGGTGAAGGTAGTGGATAACTGTGATTTTAAGGCAATCATTTAACCCTGTTGAAAAAATCTGCACACTCTTATTTTTCCATTTTTCTTCTTAACATAAACTGTGGGCGAGGCCCAATCCACATGGTCAACCTTAGATATCACTCCCATTTTTCAAGCCTTTCCAATTCCTTATTAATTGTGTCTAAGGAGGAAAAAGGAACGTTTCTCTTAGGTTTAAGAAATTGATTTCACATTTTCCTTGAGTTCAAATTTGACTTCCGCCTTAGTACATAAACCCAATCTCTCAGAAAAAACTCTGGGATATTCTTCTTTTAATTCATTCATGAATTTTCATTTTTAATACTTTTTGTTTTTTGCACTGTTTATTACGTTGCAAAATGAGTTAATCGGGAGTTCAAACAAATCAAAAAGTACTATCCAGTCTATTCCAAAAGACATGAATTAATCCCTTGGATTACATACACTTTCGTTTTTGCAGTCTTGCCACATAACGAAATATCGCTTTAAATTCTCTCTTAAAGTTTAATTTCTTTCCTGAAACCCCTCTAGCGGTTTTTTTGGTTTCAGATAATTTAGGTCTTCCAATATTTTTCCATGTTTGTTCATCAATGATGCTTATGTCTGAAACAGAATCCAATAGGAAAGTAATTGTATGATTATTTATACGTACATCTACGTACTTTCTATTTTTATCTTTCTGAATTTCTTTTTCTGATAATACCAGGCTTACATCTTGTAATTTCCTTTTCTTGTGACAAACCGAATATTTATTCCCCTTATTTCCGCACGATTGACAATTTATTTTTGTACCAACACACGTCTTTGGTATGATTTTTATTTCCGCACGATTGGCAGAATTTATTTTTGTACCAACATGTGTCTTTGGTATTGTTATTTTTTCCACACGTCTCACATTTTTCTATCTTTTTGGCTTTTGGAGTTTTTCGAGTTTTTACGTGTCGAACATTAGCAACACTTTTCTCCTCAATTTGTGTATTATCCCTTTTTACGTTTATGAGACGTTGGCATTCTTCGGTCACCCTATGTAATGTTATTTTCGAGTCTTGCTTGACCATTATTAATATTCTCGACCTAATTTCTTTATATTTAGGATCAGTTAGTCCTTGAAGAAAAATTAGGCACTTGAATACATCTTTGGTTATTTCTTCTAACTTGAATTGTTCAACCAGAGAGTTCACTGATCCCGCGTATGTCACAAAATCCTCGCTATCTGCTTTAACGATGTTTAGGCATCTGTATCGCGTGTGGAACAGACTATTCCTTTCGTCAAATATTTTTGACAGAATACTTATAGTTTCTTCAAACGAAACTTCTTCTGGCTTTCTGGGCAATATCAAGTTTGAGTACTTCCTATTCTTGTTTGTCCCTAGTTTCTGGACTAATAATGTTACTCGTTCCTCATCCGACCAATATTGACATCTCTTGGTAAATATAGTTTCGAAACGTTTAAAGTATGCTGGAAATGTAATGCCCGAATCAGGATCATAAATAAATTCGGATAATGAATTTGCTATTCCTTCAGCAGAAAAAACAGTATTTTTTCTTTCTCCAATCGCCTGTTTCAGAATTTTTTCGAGATTTTTTTGCTGTTGCAATATTTGTTGTTGTAAGTCTTCGTGCTGTTTTTGTTGCTGTTGTTGTAACTCTTGATGCTGTTGTTGTTGCTGTTGCAAGCTTGTACACAGCATTTTAGTCATTTCGACTAATTGCTCCATCCTGACTTTATTCAGAATTGGAAAAAAAAAAAAAATTTTTTTTTTTTTTTTTTTTTTTTAACAGACAATTTTCAGCCATAACATTTTTACAACCCGTAATTTTTACTTGAATAATCAATTATTAGACCGCCTCGCATTTGAGTCGCGGTTCAATATATATTTTTCAAATCACAATTTAACAGTAAAAATTTTCTTACTTTTCAAAAAGTTTCCTTTTGACTTGTGACTCCGCTTTCGAATCCTAATCGGCGTCAGCTGATATCTTTGATTTGTGAATCTGCTTCCGAAATCCGTTCAGCGTAATCTGATATATATATATATATATATATATATTATTATTTTTTTTTTTTTTTTTTTTTTTTTTTCTTCAAGTACGTTGCACAATCCTCGTCGCCAGCTGTTATATCTCGTGCAAGATAAATAAACAAAGTAAACCCGAGTGTTGGTTTTTCAATAATAATTTTATAATCGGATGTAGGTATGTCAAAATACAGAGAGAGTCAGGAGTAAGCTAACCTCAATAGGTGTTAACAAACGAAGACCTTTTTGTTACTGTTCGCTGTGGTCAAACTTTATCGGCAACCAGTCCGTCCATTATCGTGAATGGGGAAGTTGGGTTATCTCATCACAACATTTTCTAAAACAATATCTAGATACAAAGCTAATTTCTGTGAAATTTGATTTTATAGTTTTATTCCTGGTTTAGCCATATACAAAGCCTTATAATTCTGTTCTATTGTTCCTTTACGAATTAAAAACTTTCCCCTCAAAACAATGCCACATTAAGAGTAACACAAGGGATGATGTTTCTGCATCAGTATTCTTGCAAGTGTGCTGTTTCTGTGACATGAACAGTGGTAGAGACTTCAAAATAGGGTCACCATTGAGGGAAGAAAACAAACTCACTCCAATACCATAAATTTTAGAACACACAATCCACTATAAGAGTCACAGCCAAATGCGACCCTTTCTTAATAGCTGCTGGCCACAGACTGCCTGCCACTTCAAGTAAATCCTTAAATATATGCTAAACTCATGAATATTCATCAGCTGATAATATTATAAAAATTGCATTCACACATGTTCACTTTTCACATTGTAAAGTGTCACCAACATGCAAAACAGAAAGCATCATGCTCGTTTACTTTCAAGTAATTCATCACAATACAAACAAATTTATACTTCTCTGCCTTTATTTTTATCAGATCAAAATCACTGATTTTGGATTGTCCCGTGCTGTGGGAGAGAAACATTACTATCGGGCAACAACAGGTGGCAAGTGGCCTATCAAATGGTGAGTTCCGCTCTTCCATTATGACTTTACTCTCATCACATTTTATTTAAATCTAAATTTTTATCGTAATCTACCACCTCAAAAGATTTCTTTAAATAAGCAGGGATATTACAAATCTGAACAATGCTGAGTCACTTAATTCAATTGCACTAAAATGAATTTAATGTTGTATTTATTTTTCAATATTTTTGTAATAAGTTCTGCTGTAAAAATGCTATCAAAATTTCATTTTTACTTTTAAACTTTTCAAGATGGCTGCTAAATGCAACAGTTTCAAAATTTTAGACAATAAAATACTTTTTATTTGTCTTTTTTAGAGGCTGTAAAGTAAAATGAAAGCTAAAATACCCAGCTCCATATTTAAGAAAATTGTTTTTCTAATTAAACAAAAACAAAAAAAAGTTAATCAAAAACCTTTTATGGCTACAATATTGATAAAATCATTTAAACTTCATGTCAAGAATTTTAACAAAGTCATCCACAAAATATGTATTTATAGCAGCAATTCTTTTTCTATTTTAATGCTTTTAACACTTTCCCTACTGTGTTTTTGTAGCATGGCTGTGCTGGCTCATTTTGGTAAAAATAGGAAATTACCATTTACTGGAAATAATTGAATAAAAAGATACCGACAGCAATTTCTCATGGGTGCCAACATTTTGATTGGATACACTCCAGTATAAACTAAGCTAAATGACACTCCCTCCCCCAACACAATAAAATTATGCCCCAAAACAGGTCATATTGTGCATGACAATATATATCTCTGTGGGTTTAGAGATACCACTAAGTGCTGGTTAATTTATAACACAAATGCTCCTAGGAACCCACAATTCATGGTGTCTTGAAAATGTATATACAGTAGGTAATGTAAAGTTTGTAAAGATGTTTAAACATGTCCACAATTGCAAAAGTGTAAATATCTTGGGCAAAGACCTTCATGAATGCACATCTATTTTTAATTTGTGTATGCAAAGAGACATATCTGAATGTTTGATGTATTTGTTTAGTTGCAATACATTTTTTTGTTTAAAATTCCTTCTTCAGTCAAATGTTTCAATCTCAGAACTTTAGAAATTAAAAAAATTTATTAAGAATTCATCTATGAAAATAATTTTTGATTGAAAATAGTTCTATGGATAAATAAATGAATAATTAAAATAAAAAAGGGTCCCTAAGTTTTTCTTTTTTTGCTTTCAGGTATGCCATGGAGTCTGTAAAATATGGCCATTTTTCTCATGCTTCAGACGTGTGGAGTTTTGGTGTTACTTTATGGGAGATGTTCTCTTTTGGGCAGATGCCGTATGAAAATATGATGGGAGTAGAAGTAAGTCTTAAGTTTTGTTTCAACACATTTTCTCGAACATTCACACTTAAAGATATTTTATTTACATATAACTTTGCTTGAAGCAGAGATACAAGTGTGGATTTTACTAGTAAGGAAAACAATCATTTATGGTTAACTCACGTGAGAATTGCTGTGGTTTTAATTAACCATGTAGGGTAAATTACAAGTGGTTAAAAGAATAATGTAACAGAATTACTGGTGTGGATTTTATAAGCGAGTGAATCTATACCTGGTAGCAGTTGGAATAGGAATTGAGAAGTTGATGTGAAAAGCCTGAATAGCCAATCTAGATAATCTAGATTTTACTAACATAAGAAGTATCTTGGAGACTGATTTTTCTGGTGAGGTTTTGGGAAAATGAAAAACATTTAATTACAGTAAATTGAATTAGTACCTGAGTATGAATTGTCTGAGTTTAACCTCCTGACATAACAGCATTTTAATTACTAGGATCAGGCAAAGCTAGGAGTACAAACACCTCACCTTTACACACATAATGACTTTCTTTTTTTTTTTTTTTTTAATCATTTCAACCCAAGCAAGGCAATAAAACCAATGATACAAGGAGTTACAGATTGTGAAAAATATGAGAAAAACATTACAGAGAGAGAACAATAGAACAAGACTTAAGAAGACTGAAGACAACAATTGCCATTGCATTTAAACTTTTGAAATTCAATGTTGACTGGAAAGCAAGAAAATGGAAGAGTTCTGCAAGCAAGAAGTGCGAAAATAGACTGTTAGCAAAGAACTTATGGTTACATCTAGTCATTTCAACTGTAAAATGATGAGACCTATCTACCAATCTAGTACTGCACTTAAATTCCTGAAGGAAAAGAGGAAAACTGATCAGAACAATTATCATGAAAATATTTACAGCAAAGGCACAGGAAAGATAGGTTACGGCAATGGGAAAGCAACTGAAGCTGAGATGCCAGGTCAGGACCAATAATATTGCCGATTCTTCTTTGTAGTTTATCTAGAATCTCTAAATACATAGAAGTACCAGCCCAGATGTGAAAGCAATATTCAATACATAGACAAATGGTAGATTTATAAATGTGTAAGATTCTGGTGAGAAAAATTGTCCAACATGAACCAATATTCCTAGCTATCAATTGTTTCAATATAAGCTTTCCTACTTCAATGTCAGTGGAAAACATTAGTCCAAGAAGGTGCAGTGAGTCACTCTCTTGGAGGTTTGAATTGAAATAAATCAGTTATCCTATGCTAAATTTGAATTGTGACCAAAATTCACTTTAATACTCTTCACCATGTGATTTTGATTATCTATTAGAATTAAGAATTCAACTGATACTAGTTGTACGTGACAAGAAGGTGATGTCACCAAACCACTTCGATGATGCTGTTATGATGCACATGTGCAAATCTACTTATAATCAGAACTCCTTCCCTATAAATATAGAAACTTCTTTCCTATAAATATAGGGACACACCAACTGTGGTGGGCAGTCATAAACAGGGAATACAGGCAGATAAGATGTGGGGACATTCCTTAACAGGGAATGCAGGGAGACTAAATGGGGACAGTCATCAACAGGGGATGCAGGAGAACAAGATGAAGGTAGTCATTAATGGAAGACACAGACAGACAAGCTGGGGACAATAATCAATGGGGAATGCAGGAGGACAAGATGGGGGCAGTTATGAACAAGAGATGCAGGTAGAGGAAAGGATGGGGTCAGTCATTGACAGGGGATGCAGGCAGAAGGGTCAGTCATCAGTGGGGCTGCAGAGAATCAAGTAGTTGACAACACTTACACCATCACTACCACCACCACTTGTAAGACACTGCTGGAGAATAATTTTGTTAACTTCTGAAATTATTCCTAGCCCACACCTTCTAATTCACATAGCAGCCATAGCTAGATCACAGAACTGCAGAATTGAAAAAGGTTATTTTGTTAATTGTAATTTGTCAACAGACTTTGAACAGTTTGGAGATAGTTGCATATATGCTGCTGAAAGTAAAAATCTGTGGGTTTTTTTAAGAAATTTTTTTCTGAAAGTAAGCTTGAGAAAAATAGTTTTTTTTTTTTTTTTTTTTTTTTGTTTTTTTTTTCAGTTTTCTCTGATTGGTAAAATATTTCATTTCACATGGTGATGTTAATTTCTAATCAATAGATACTTTTATTTAAATGTCCCTTTTGTATTCTAGTATCTTTTTGGCATGCTTATAAATATTATCTGTTATTGGGTAAATAAAGTTTGGCATGTTTTAACATGAGATGTATGTGGATGTGTAATTGTGTTGGAAATAGGGTTTATTTCCTATAGCTACTTTATTATATTGCAAAGTTTTGGTAACTTTGGCTAAATTAACAAAAATTTGCCTGACAGAATTGTTCTTCTGGAGAGTAATTCTGTTGCATTTCAAGTGGAAGAATTAATGCAGTCATTATTCCTTGCAGTTAATGTTGGAGTGTTACAATTAGTTTAGTACCAGATTGGTAGCTAAGTATCATCATTTTACTGTTGAAATGTCTAGACATAACCATAATTTATGTATTAGTAGTTTCTACTCTTGCACTTCTTGCTTTCCTGTCAACTACAATCTTTAAAAATTTGAATTCAGTGTCAATTGTGATCTTGTCTCCTTGAAACCTGTTCTTTTATTGTCCTCTCTCCTCAATAATCTTTTCTCTGTTTATTTCACTTTCAATTAAACCTTGCCTCTTAGTGGCTTTATCACTTTATACTTAAAATCTTTTTTATTATATTGTGCTTTGTTAATTTTTTTTTAATGCCTTGAAGTAAACATTTTGGCATTTGTTTTTCAGGTGATTCAATTTTTGGAAAATGGTCAACGCCTAGCTCAACCAAAAAAATGTCCTGATGCCATCTACAAAACAATGGAAGATTGTTGGAAGATTGACATAAAAGAGAGACTCACTTTTACAAAACTTCATAAATTTTTTACAGAAGACATAAAACACATTCTCAAATAAAATACTCAGTGACAATAATCTGAGCAACACATTTTTTGATAGAATTTTTATTGAATAAACAGCATTTTTTTTTTTTTTTTCATAAACTGAAAAAAGTTTTTATACCAATATTTGATAACAAAATATTTTTATTGAAATTGAAAATACAAAATTATGAGACAATTCCTTTTCCTCTTGTGTTTTTTTTTTAATATTGTTTCTTTTTGTTGTTAAGAACAAAGCATCTCATGTCAAACATATATTTGTTTTTATTGTCATTTGCTAATAAATTCTACAAACCTTTGTAAACATACAATAAGTCACTCTCTCAGCTTTTCACTGACTGGGCAAATAACCCCACATTGTGTCTATTTTTGTTCACATTAATGTGTACAATAACTGGGATAGGTCCATTATACATTCACAAAGGTAACAAAAGGTCATGGTAAGAAATAAAGAATCTAACCCAGTTTGTAATATATTTTGTTGTTTAAACCAATTCACTTGCGTGGATGGGAGAGGCTCATGAGTATGTGACACTTGGGGTATCTTTTGCTACATCAGTCATGACTGACTAATGGATCAGCTTTTCCCTTCAACCAACAAGAACTCTAACACTCTCCTACCACCCCACTGTGGATGATGTGAAAGGAGGGAATCTTATGGGATGAACAATATTCGTATCAGGATCTGGTTGTTTTCTTTAAGCATCAGCTTGGGATAAAAATCAAATCGGATCAAAAGCATTTGATTTTGACAGATTTCAGAGACAGGTGGGTGACTGAGGCAAGCCTGGTTTGTGAGGACAGGGGCTAGCCTTGATTTTCTCCTTTAAGTCCCCTTAAGTGCAACAGGATGGTTTCCTGTAAGCCCTCCGCTGATTAATTTAGATACTATTTTGTTTTCCTAGTTAATGTGAATAAGTGTTGTTCCTGGCTCTCTCTTTTGTTATGACCTATGTTGAGATTCTCAATCTCCCCAGCTTGTTTTTGTCCCTTGTTTTCATCTCGGCTGGGTCAGCCTTTGATTTTTCCCTTTCCGTCATTTATTTTTTTTACCCTCCCCATTTCATTAGTGAGTGTGCTGCTTGATTCTGTCTAGCAGTAGAATACAGCAGCCTCTCTTATTGAGGAGTGGACGAGTCCTACTAACATTGTTTTTGATTTTATTTTATTTTGAGTTACAATTTTAAGTTTGTTTTTGGGTTTCATCCCCTAACCATCATTTCATTTATCACAAAATTTTTATATATTTTTACATTATTCGGACTATTATCCTCATCTTTGTCGCCATATTTATTACGTTTCGGCCGTTGTACACTCCGGCCTTTTTCAGGTGGTTCGAATGTTGAACTAAACCTTTTATTTCGCTCACTGGGGTAGACTGTTCTAGTTCCATGTGCCATATTTAATGGATGTCAGTTATCAGTTATCTCCTGTTAATTTCCCTCTGAAAGTTCTCCACTGCCATAACCAGGTATTGAACTTGCACTCTTTGGGTCCTGTCAGTGGTTCTAAACAACGCCTTTATCCACTGTGCCATGTGTCCCTGAGGAACCAGTAATAAGGAGTGCCAGAGAAAAGCGATAATAACAAAAAAAATTGCAATATGAGCTATGGTAAAAATGGTTGCTGAAGACATTAGGTTTATAATACCCAGAAATTCATACACAGATGTCCTCAAGGACACATGGCTCAGTGGATAAAGGTGTTGGTTAGATCCAGTGACAGGACCCAAAGAGTGTGAATTCAATACCTGGTTAAGGCAATGGAAAACTTTCAGACAGAAATTAATTGTTTTGAGTTACAAGTTTGTTTTAGGGTTTCATCTACTTGCCATCGTTTCATTAATCACAAAATTTTTATATATTTTTGTAAAAAAAAAAAAAAAAAAAAAAAAATGGACATGTTTTTATTTTTTATTTTTTTTTTTTTTTAGGTTCTCTGTGAATATGCAGGATGTGGGTGGATTTAACTAGGATTAAGATAGCTAGTGAAGACCAGCCCCACCCTGTTTTCCTCCCCTTCAGCCTTGTGCCACAATTTTTTAATTTTACAAAATAAATATTCTCTCCTACCACCCGCTACCCATCTCTATATTCTAACAGGCAGTGTCAAAACTCTTTCTGATGGGCAATCTGTACCCCACCCCAATGGATGACCTGGAACTATTCTCAATTCTGTAACTGTTTTATAAGCCTGAAATGGAAATTTGTAACATCCAACCAAGTGCCAAGTTTTCATTTATTTATTTTATTCCCTTTTGGTCAAGTGGGTGACTGTTTTGAAAATCCCATGTCCTAGGTCAGGGGTCAGCAACCTTTTAGAGAGAATGGATCAGAAAGCTATGCATTGTCTTGGAGGAGTGCCATGATATCAAATGTATTATAACAAATAGTCTCAATCTCAGACTGCTTTGTCCAAAAGGCTGCCTTTGTCTGGAAGTTTAAAGAAAAAAAAACAAACAAAATTAATGCTATATTATTTAAACAAGGTCCCTTATTTTACAACAGGATAACAATTAACACAACAAAAAAAGCAAATTACTTACTACGAAAGAAATAGTTAGAAATGGCAAATTATTTAAGGAAATACTTGTTTCTGCTCATTGTTCGATAACTTCTTCACATCAGGTGAAATATTTGTTGATGACAGGAGCAAAAAATCATCCAGGTGGTCATCACCCAACCTTGTTCTTAAATGACTTTCAGTATATTTCATTTTCAAAAAAATTGTTTGCAAGCATATGTACTTCCAAATAATGATACCATTACTATCATATTATTCAATAGGCTTTACTATTTTCTGATTGTCAAGATATATTTCTTGTAAAAGTCATCAGTGGATTCGGCCCAAGGGCCAGGGATTGCTGACCCCTGTCCTAAGTTTTGCTGCTGGCCATAAAAAAACACAAGATACATAAAACTGGGATAAAATCATTATCTGTCTTCTATGCACGTTTTCTATCGTGTCAGACTTTGTTCTGTCAGCTTCACTTTCTCTATATATATATATATATATATTTTTTTTTGCATATTTCCAAATCACTGCAGCTACAATGTCTATTCTTTGGTGGTGGAGGTATAATTTTTTCTCAAAATTAAATGATCATAGTAATTGAAAATGCAATGTGGTGATAATAGTAATGTTCTCCTTTGTCTTACTGCTGAAAGTTGTCATCTTTAAAGTTATCTAATAATCTGTAACTATTGTAGCCAATCATTTAACAGAACATTTCATCAACTGAAACAAAGATGTAATGTATCCAGAATTATAATGGTTTTTATCCTATTTTGATTTAATAGATTTTTTTAGTGTATTATTTTTGAAATTTTCTTTCCCTTTGAATATGTTGAAGCCATGGATTGAGTTTCTCCCACTAAAGAATATTTTTGAAAATTCAAACTTTTGTTAAGGGATTTTCAATTAATCTGAACTCTTGTTAATGGGCATTTTTCACACTGAAATCAGAATGCTAATTTGGTTGTCAAGATTTTAAAGGATATGTTCTTTTACACTGAACATGCTTTAAACTATATTTAAATTTGGACTAATGTCCTCTTTTTTTGCAATGCTTCAGCTGTTGTGTCTTCCTGCCTTTTTCAAGTGTCTATCAGTCTGGGTAACTTTCAAGGAATTTTGAACTTAATTCTTTATTTAATCTATTATTTAATAACTGATTAGTACTAACATTGTGACAGCTATTAGGGAGATGTGATTAAATATACTTCAATGTTTAAAAAAAATATATTCAATATTATTATTGTTTAGGTAATAAGCATTATACATAGCACAAATATCTATATTGTGGAAAAAGGAATTTTCGGCAATATACACATTTTTTTTGTATTTATGGTTATGTTTTAACTTTTAACAAAAACAACATTCTTTTACATGTATTTATGAATAATATTATACATCAATTACTAAACATTTTTTAATTAATAACTATTTGTGCTCAGTTGTTGACATAGCAATCTGGTGATGTGTTAAAATTTTGGAATAATGCAATAATAAAAATTTAAATTTCATCTTTCTAATAGATGTCCCAATAAATAAGAACAAGATAAGATATGAATAGTGGAATGATAACAATCTATCCCCCAATAGATTAATTAAAGGGCTCACTTCAAGATTCACTGAAGGTTTATAAACTTGGTACTGGATGAAACACATTATAGGACAAAGTCAATTGAGTTGATCTTTCAAGTGTTTATTCAGTTGATTTAAAAATCAAGTCCTTCAGGTGGACATTTATAAAGCTATTAGGCCTATAATTGTATGGCTTACCCAAAACCTATATTATTTCCTTGCTTCCAATTTTATCTCTGGAGTCTGCATAGCACAAGTTGGCAAGATGGTTGGCTATCTTGTTGTAGCTGGAGTGTTATTTGGTTGTCTCACAGACTCTGTTTTGACAACTATACTCTATCTGAAGTTATTATGCAAAATACATAAACCTCAATAAACTCAAATTTGCTTTGTAAAATCTTTGTCAAATATTAAATGATTAATTTAGATATTAGAACAAAGCTTGAATTAAATCTTTAGGTAGTTTCAACATTTTTTATTAAAGTTATTGAATTTATTATAAAAACTGTAATCTGAAGTTATTATGCAGATTAAACTAATATTAGCTTAAGGCTTCTGTAATCTGAAATAACATTTTAATTTTTTCATAATATATATTGAAACATGGTTAATAGAAAGGATCTAACATGCTGAAAAACAAAATAATAGTTATTGAATGAGCTTCACAGAGATCATCGGACAATAAAAGGGACTGTTGAAAATATAAATTGAGAACTAGAAGCATAGGAAGAGGCTTTCTCAAGGCGAACTACTCTCAGTAAAAAAAAATACTTTAAAGCATCAAAACAGGGCTCAGAAATACATGAAAATTGACTTTTCTAAAGTAATTTTCATGGGCGAATCTGGTGACACTTGATGAACCTGATTGATGGATTCAAAGGATGGACTTGTGGGGTTACCCCCACTTCACAAAAAAAAAACGTTGCTAAG